GTTCTGCGAGGGAAGGCGTGACGTGCCCACACCAAGAATTGATGGACGTCCTGGGGTCTCCAGGTTTGGCTTCTTTGTGGAGGGTTTCTCTTGTGGTCGGGCCCCATCTTGGGGAGGGCGCCTCGGCCACCAGGGCCACAGCGCCGCCTCGGGCGCGCGTGGGGGGGGGGGCCTGCGTTTGGTGCCAGCGCCGTCCACGGGGGCGCGGGGGGGGGCAGGGCTTGCCGTGGGTTTGCCGAGGTGTCAGCGTCGTCCACGGGGGCGCATCGAGAACAAACGGCGCGGCGACATGTCTACGGACGGAGGAGGAGGAGGAGCAGGAGGAGGAGCAGTAGGAGGAGGAGAAGGAGGAGGAGGAGAAGGAGGAGCAGGAGGAGGAGGACCACAACGAAGACGAGGGGGTCCTGGGGGAAGGAGAGCGATGTGCTTCGCCACCTCCTAGGGCCCCCCTCCCGGTCCCTGGGTTCGTCGAAAAGCGGCTCGGGATGAGAAGCGGGTCTTGGGGAAGCCCCGGGGTCCGAAACCCGTTTCCCTCAGTATCTGTTCCATTCGCGCAAAGACGAGGAAAATGGGGAAGCAGGAGAGCGTTGATGGCATGCGCGGAAGGCCGGGAAAGCGAGGCAGGGGGATCCAAGCGAGGCAGGGGTGAAGCAGATGGAGGCTGAGAATGAGCAGAGCCAGAAAGGATACTGAAGCATCGTTGGATGTGCAGGTGGCCACAAGAGCCGACAGTTCCCACGAGAGCGTTGAATGAGCTCCCGCGTCTACCGTCGGTGCATCCTGAGCGCAGAATGTGACGGACGTCGTTGCTCAGTTGTCCGTGCAGTCTGCAAGCCACGGCGGTTGAAAATGTCTCGCCGGATCCACACTACATACATAGATGTATACATCTACATGTATGTGTAGAAAGCGTACATGCTCGGCCAGACTTTGGGAAACGAAGGAAGTTGAACAAGCAAAGTGTTTGAAATACATGCTTGCATGCAGTTGCCCTTGTCGAAATAATCGTATATCCCACAACTACTTGCGTACCCTTGAGAGGGCTAGCAGTTGTAAGTTTGCGATATCCTTTCTGGGAGACCGCATCCTCGCCACTGGAAATCAGGACGGGAGAAGGAACGTATGAGAGGGGATGGACGACGGATTTCGAAGTCCATTCAGTTTGCTCTATGGATCTAGAAATCTGGCCCTCAGGTTGTGCAACCATGATGCCCATATGTGCGTGTGCAAATATTTATATGTTCGGAGGATGCGCACAATGAGCCTGCTTTGGCCTCATGTCTGTCAATCGTTCGAAACATACTAGACATCCAGAGTTCCCGAAGGCCACTGAGGATGGCACGCGAGGATCGTCAAACATTTAAGTAATAGTTCTGATACGTCTCAAGATTTTAGAAACACATTGAACGCCTTTAGGGGGGCATGTAAACATGTAGCAATCATTTTAGAAGCAGATCGGATGCCGGTCGGAATAGTCACATGCGGTTCGGATACAAGTTGATACCCGTTGGAAATCAGTTCGAGATTTTTCGAAAGCGTTTGGGGACGAGCAACCCTGATGATCTTCCAATGGAAACTCCTCGAAGGTTGTTCAAAATATTTCGGATGTGTTTCATGCCATTCTGAACATCTTTGGCGAACCGTCGAATGTTACGCGCAGTCCGTCGAAGCCGGTCCATCGTCGAACGATATTCGGGATCCTCCGCATCCAGTCGAATGCGCACGAGCCTTCGAAGCAAGTCCAAGATGTGCGGATAACCTGAGGGAGCCCCTCGACAGTCCGTGGGGGCCTCTTCAAGGTGCCCCACGCACCCTCGAGTGCCCGAGAGCGCTTCCAAAGCGGAGGGCACCTGAAGGGCCCCGGAGGCCCGGGGGGTGCGACTCGAGGGAGGCCCGGGGGGGCGACGCGAGGGAGGCCCGGGGGGGCGCGAGACTCGAGGGGGAGGAGGAGGAGGAGGAGGAGGAGGAGGAGGAGGAGGAGGAGGAGGAGGAGGAGAGGGAGGAGGAAGGAGGAGGAGGAGGAGGAGGAGGAGGAGGAGGAGGAGGAGGAGGAGGCCCAAGACGCGGGCGACGACGACGGCGACGACGTTTCCTGTCCGACGTGTCCGAGGGTGTCGCGCCGAAGGCGTCCCGCTCCTCGGCACGGCAGGCGGCCGCCGCCGCGCGCGTTCGCGCCGCCCGAGCTCCGCCTTGCCGCGCGAGGCTCCCCGACCCCGCAGTGCGCCGAGAGTGAGCACCTCCCCCTCCCCCTCCTCCTCCTCCCCCTCCTGCTCCTCCTCCTCCTCCTCCTCCTCCTCCTCCTCCTCCTCCTCCTCCTCCTCCTCCTCCTCCTCCTCCTCCAGGGTCACTGTGGAGACAGCCTGCGGGCGGCAGAGAAGCGCAAACGCTCGGGTGTTGCTGAAGTGCCTCTGGCCCAAGGTGCCCCCAGGATTTCCAGGGAGGCCACCGAGGCCTCCAGAGCACCCCTCACAAGGGCCAGCAGGGGCCGGGGCGCCCGGACGGAGGGAAGGCAGATGGCGACATGCGAACTCTACCCCCACCAGCCATCGACTCCCCCGAATCGATGCGGGGCGGGGGGCAGGGCTCGGCTTTCGCCACGCGCTCGACGGATTCCGAACCCCACACCCCGCCGCCCAGCGAGTTGTCCGAATCGCTGATCGGCGAGGGCAGGCTTCGGAGCTCGCCGCCGATCAGCTCACCGTGCACGGCCGGCGCCCCCCCCCCACAGCGCTCCGAACCCCGCAGCGCGCCGTACTACATTGGGGGGCGGAGCACGGGGACCATGACCGGGAGGTCACGGGATTTTGTCGATGCCGATCTTGGTCGTGGCCCATGTCGGCCGTCGCCTGTTCGAGAGGATGATCCAAGAGTTGACGCCGACCACGGTCGACGGTGACCAAGATGGACACGATGTTTCCGCGCTGAGTCTTGGTCAGGGTCCCCGTTGTCTCCCCCTCCGTTACGCGAGAGGGTCGTGGATGTCCGAGCTCCTTTGCCGCCAAAGCCCTGCCGAGCATCTTGGCCTGGCTCTGCAGCAGCCTTAGCTGCCTCGATATGCCCGTTCTGATATGTGCAACACGTGCCGTGCTCTCAAAACGTCCGCGTCCGTGTCGATACGTTGCGTGTTGGTTCAGCGTATTGGCCCACGTTTTGGCGAACGCATCGCGTCAGGCCTACGTTTTTAGTCTGCGTGTCGAGCTCCGTGACAACACGCTACGTGCTGCGTGTCGCGCATCGGGGCAGCTGAGTCCAGCAGCAGTTTCTCGAATCGGTTCTGCTTGGCCGCCGTCCAGTCCGGCCGGCCCTCCACGACCCGCACCCTCCCCGACTGTCCGCGGCCTGCCCCTTGTCGACCTCCATGCCAGCAGCAGTCCTGGGCGGGGCCGCGGGTGCAGCGGCCAACGGCGCTTGGCGGGACACGTGGTCCGCCCAGCTGCCGTCCTCGCAGCCGCCGCCGTCGCCATCTCCCGCCCTGCCCTTCGGGCTGCTGCTCTCCGCCGCCTCTGTGCCGACCTGGCCGCTGTCGGCGCCCGCGAGCATGCCGTCGTGCGCACGGCCTCGGCGCCGCCGAGCCTGGAACGCTGCCTCCGCCCCGCCTGAAGCGCCAGGCCGCGGCGCTGCGCCGCCGGAGCAGCAGGCCGCGGCGGCAGCGCCCGAGCAGCGCCGCCGCGGCCCGGCTCTCCCGCCAGCCCCCGGGGGCCGCGGGCGCGCCGAGGGGCGCGGCGGCAGCCCTTGGGCGCCCGCGCGAGGCGGAGCGCCTGCACCGCTCTCGCCCGCGCACGGGCCCGCCGCCGCGCGGGCGCGCCGCGAGGAGGGCGCCACGCGGCGCCCTCGAGGGCGGCGCGGCGCGCCGCTGGCGTCGGCATCGCGCGCTGCGGGCGGCGGGCGTCCCGCGAAGCGAGCCCGAGCCAGCGCAGCTTCGACGACGACGACGACGATCACGACGATAACGTCGACGACGATGACGACGACGATCACCACGACGATCACCACGACGAAGACGACGATTACGACGACGATCACGACGACGATCACGACGACGACGACGACGACGACGACGACGACGACGACGACGACGACGACGACGACGACGACGACGACGACGACGACGACGACGGCGGCGGCGGCGGCGGCGGCGGCGGCGGCGACGACGATAAGGGCGGCGACGGCGGCGGCTGCGGCGGCAGCGGCGGGGACGGCGGCCAGAACTCCAAAGGGAATCCGGCCTTTGCCACGAGAGCACCCCGCCGAGGGCCACCGAGAACGTCCCCAGACCTCGCTGTGCTCCCGAAGCCTCGATCTTCGAACCTGGAAACCTCGAATCTCGATCCTCCAGCCTCGATCCTCGATCCTCGAAGCCTCAAGCCTGGGTTCTCGAACCTCGAAGCCTCGATCCTCGAGCCTCGAGCCTCGATCCTCCATCCTCGAGCCTCGAGCCTCGGTCATCCGTCCTCGAACATCGAACCTCGAAACCTCGAACCTCGAGCCTCCATCCTCCAACCTCGATCCTCAAGCCTCGATCGGCGGCCTGCAGCCTGCGCGCGCCCTGGGCGCGCGGCGGCCGGCCGCATGAGACGCGCGCTTGGCTGTCGCCCGCGCCGCGGCTGCGCCCCCACGGCAACCCGCAGGCCGTGCCACCGTGCCACCGTACCCCGACGCCGACGCCGACGCCAACGCTGACGCCGACGCCGCCGCCGCCGCCGCCGCCGCCGACGACGCCGACGCCGACGCCGACGCCGACGCCGACGCCAACGCCGACGCCGACGCCGACGCCGCCGCCGCCGCCGACGACGACGCCGACGCCGACGCTGACGCCGACGCCGCCGCCGCCGACGATGCCGACGCCGACGCCGACGCCGACGCCGACGCCGACACCGACGCCGCCGCCGACGACGACGACGACGGTACCTGCTGGTTTTCCCAGTCGCGACGCGTTGCCGCCCCTGGCGAGCCGCCGAGCCGCTGCTGCCGAGGACGTGGCCGAGGGAGCCCCGGCTGGCATGAAGGACCCGCCACGTTGCCATTGCTTCGGGCTGCCTGCCGCGTGCCGCGTCTTTTTTCTCGAGGCCTCCCAGGTGGGGCTGGAGTAGACGGGATCGAAGGATTGCGCCGCGTCGCCGAGGTATCGCCGATGCGGCTCGATGTGGAACCCGATGTCCTCCATGCCGACGGCGCCGATGCATCGCCGACGTCGCCGATGCATCGCCGATGTAGCGGCGATGTATCGCCGATGTATCGCTGATGCGGCTTTTCGAGGGCGGATGTTCTTTATCAACCCCGGATTTTTCGACAAAAAATGAGGCCGCCCGGAAAAAAAGATACCTCGGGGCTATTCGGATGCATTCCTATCGAGGATGGACGCGCCCCCATCGTTTATCCCAGGGTTGGGCCCCAAGTGGTTGGTCCATGCGAAAACCCAGAAAGCCTGGGAAAGGGTTCAACATATCCCCTGTTACCCTTCTTCGCGCCCCTCAGCCGACCTCAGATCCGAAGGCCTGGCTCCTCGCATAGAGAGCGCAGCCGCACAAGGGCTGCCGCCATGAGTGATGCTTGCCCGCTGCGTGTGCAATCCGTTTTGCCAATTGGCGCCTGGAGGCCTGAACCACGTGCTCGTGCACGTTGTTTGAGCGCGTGAGATGCCACATGCCTTGTGTATTCACTCTTGCACTCGGCCGAGTTACACTTCGCAGTCACAGGGCTCCTAGCACTTCGCCTACGGAGCAGGTGGCATCTCGATGGTTTCAGCAAGCAGAGGCGCACGTCCTTCGGCGAGCACGCGCACTCCCACAGCCGCACGGCTCGTCGGGGCCAGGGCGAGCAGGGCGCACCACGAAGCTGGACACACGCGACGCGGCAGGCCTGGGGGAGGGCTGGATGCGCACCTCCCAAGGTGGCCAAAAGTCGTTCCAGCGCTCCGCCCCTTCTGTGGCCGGGCGCTTCAGCCCCTCCGCATGTGTACTCATCGCGTGGCCTACAGGTGTCCCAATTGTGAGTCCAGCCATGTGTGCTTCCAGCTCTCTGGTCATCGCGTGCTCTGGAGCTTTGCGCGTGCGGCGGATACTGCGGAGAGTTGCCGTGCCAGTATTTTGCACGACGCGCGGCATCAGCGCGCGGCTTGGACATTTACGGAGGAGATTGAACGGCAGTTTCGCACCCGCTGGGTCATCGTCATCGACATCATCACAATCTCGTGTACTTGGGCTGGGGACACAAGAGCGATGACACTTCGTGCGGCTTGAAAATCTCGGCTGCAATTCACAGTGGCGGGTTCTTCTGAGGGCCTGGCTTGGGATCCTGTGGCCGAAGCCCGAATTTCTACCGGGACGAATCCACTCACGAGGGTTTGCACGCGTTGCGTTGGGACAGCCGTGGGCATTTCTCGGAGCCAGGCAGAGTTGCTGCGAAGGCCTTGCGGCCGGCACCGCCAACCCTGAAGGCGGGACCTTCCCCGCGACCCCCGCTGGCGACCCCCCTTTGGGACCCGCAGGGACACCGGGTGGGCGGCACTCTGACCTTAGACCCCCCCCACCCCCCCACCCCCATCCCCAACTCCTCCCCTCTCCTCCTCCTTCTCCTCCTCCTCCTCCTCCTCACCCTCCTCCTCCTCCCCCTCCTCCTCCTCCTCCTCCTCCTCCTCCTCCTCCTCCTCCTCCTCCTCCACGGGCGCCTCAACCCCCCATCCCCAACTCCTCCTCCCCGGCAGGGAAAGGATATTGTGAAGGGCCTCCCTTCGACTTACCTATGACGTTCTTTTCCCGTGTTCCTCAATTTCCTCAGGACTGGCGACGACGACGACGACGACAACGACGACACCGCCTTCCATTTGCCGACGGGTCGGCGCATGTCTGAAAAGCGCATGTCGTCGCCGTTTTCAAGATTTCGCGACGGCATGCCGCGTGCGGTATCAGGCAGCGTTTGCTGAAAAAATGCCATCGCCACCTCCCTCCCCTGGTGGCCCCTCCCTCCCCAGGCAGCGCTTGCTGAAAAGTCATCACCACCTCCCTCCCCTGCTAACCCCTCCCTCCCCTCCACCCCCCGCCGCCCCTTTCCCCCCCGCCGCCCCGCCGCCGATCCAAACAAACGTTTCCGGACTTCACTCTGTTTGCTATCCGACAGCGGCAGGAGTTCGCGAAGTCTCTCGGCAAGGTTGCCAAATCCGCCGGCGACGCAGCGGCCAGGAGCTGCCCCATCTTCTGCTGCTGCTGCTGCTGCAGTTATTGTTGCTGTTACTCCTCGGTGGCTCCTCCTCCCTCCTCGTCCTCCTCCTCCACACATAGACTTTGGGCGCTCCTCTCGGATTTCTTGGATCCTCGTTGGGGCCCCCCCGGCGGCGCCTCCGGCGCCGCCCCTGGCGCGCTCCACGCGCGCCAGGGAGGGGGGTCCAGCGCAGATCCCAGAAAACCGCGCGGAGCGCCAAAAGTTTCTGTTTACGTATGCCTTTTTTGTTATTCCAGTAACAGGGGTCCGCGCTAACTGGGCTCAGCCAATCCCCTCTGGCTGACCCGGGTGGGGCTTCGCGACAGGACCCTGGCCGACCTGGGGTTTGGGCTGACCCGGGTCAACGTGTCCCCAGCAATTCTGCCGATGCTTCGTGCGCCCAGAGTGGGCCAGCCGAGGGTGACGGTGTTCGTCGCGCCAGGTCAACAGCTTTCGCAGCCTCGACTTGGCATCGCTCGGGCGTGTGCATTCTTTTTCTTCGGCGAGGGCCATCGAGGAGCATCCTGGACAATCGAGCCAAAAAAACACGCACGAAATCGAAAAACTCACGGGGAATGGACGTCCGAGCGATGGCGAGTCGACAGGGAAGGCAGGCCCAGTAGTTGTTGCAAAAGTTCAGGAGGGCACGTCCTTAGCGCAGTGTGGGCCTCTTTCGCACGCAGTGCCGTACCGTTTGCTTGTTCATTGAGGGCTCAGTGCGGTAGGACCGTCGTGCCCATGCGGGTCATTTCCGATTATCCAGAAAATCTGTCCTGTTACTACCCGACAGTTCCGACATAATAGGTACCATATTATTGCCGTAAGCTCCAGCAGTTTGCCAATATGCATTTTCCATGGACGAAGCGGTCCGCCTAACTTAGCCGTAAGTAGCTTCTGCGCGTATTCATTAACGCATCCACGTCGGCACTTGTGACTTGCTGTTGCACCACTAGTGACCATGCTGTCTCGATTCCCTGTGGCCCTGCGAGGACTCTCAGGACCAAGGTGGAGGAGGCGCAGGACCAGGAGCGATCCCGCGACTTGGGCGGTTGGGTGACAAGCCACTCGAGCATGTGGGGCGGGGCGTGGGCCAGGACCGCGGCCCCTGGAGGGCAGGTCGGGGCGCGGCACCCGCACAGGCAGGCCCACCCGAGCGTCCAGCAGAAGGGCCCTGCAGAGCGGGGCGGGAGCCGAGTTGGAACCGAGAGCCGCCACCGCCCAGCATGCTCGAGGGTGCTGTTCGTCCACGGCAGGAGCGCCCAGGCGACCTCGGCGGGCTGGCCGCCTGCGCAGGCCGCTCCGCGGACGGGACGGGCACACAGCCGGGCCGAGGCAGCATGGGATCGAGGCTGGGTCGGGGAGGGGGCCCTGATGTTCTTCGTGCCTGTTGGAGGCTCTTGTGCACCCTGGGGATCGGGTACCCTTGGACGTTCTGTGTGGTTTGGCCGGCGGAGGGTGACATGTTCTCAAGGGATGTTCTTCTGGCTTGGGTCCGACTGTACCAGCCAATTCATTGTGAGGCAGGTGAGCCAGCCCTAACGCTCCCTCGGGAACGTTCAGCTCCAGGGGCCACAGGACCAAGACTGTCTGCGATTTGGTCGGTTCGGCTGCATCGTTCGGTCGCAGTTCGATCGGCTGTCGTGCCGTTGTTGGGTCGTTGCCTTTCTCGGCTGCTTTCGGTGGATTGGATATCGGTCGGTCTCGTTCTCGCTGTCGGTTTGGTCAGTTGTCGCTACGATCCAGCCACAGCGCAATGCCAGGATTGGATTATAAGTACAAGGCAAGTCACGGACGAGTCAGCGCCCACTCACGCACCCCGAAAGTATTCCGTCCTGTGGAGCGCGACAGGGCGCGCAGGCAGCATAGGCGAAGGAAGTTGGCGGCCTGCACAGACTCTTCGTGGTCTTGACGTGAGCGCCGGATTTCTCAGATTGGTCATGGGCCCCAGACGAGGGATGGAGCAGTTGAGCACCCTCGATCGGAAGCAGATCTGGGCGCTGCATTGGCAGAGCTTGCCGCCCAAGCCCGTGGCCACGAAGCACACATGCGTCCTCGCATGCTTTTCCGAAACCATCCTTTGGTGTTGGGTCCTTGTTTTGAAGAGACAGCGCCCCTAGCTCCACCGAAGGCCCAGAGGCGACGTTCGCATGCGCCCGCGCCACCAAGTACAGCGCTGCATGGCCCCATATGAAGCTCAACCGAAGGCTACCCATACAGCGGCCCATGGCCCCATCATTAGGGAGCTTCACCGAAGGCCCCAGAGGCGACGTTCGCATGCATCCGCGCCACCATGTACAGCGTTGCGTGGCCCCGTTGGGAGCTCCACCGAAGGCCCCAGAGGCGACGTTCGCATGCGTCCGTGCCACCCAGTACAGCGCTTCGTGGCCCCATAGGGAGCTGCACCGAAGGTCCCAGAGGCGAGGTTCGCGCGCGTCCGCGACACCAGATACAGCGTTTGGTGGCCCAATAGGGAGCTCCGCCGAAGGCGCCAGAGCCGACGTTCGCATGCGTCGCCCCCACCCAGTACAGCGCTTGAGGGCCCCACAAGAAGGCGCCAGAGGCGACATTCGCATGAGTTGCCCCCACCCAGTACTCTGTTGCGGGGCCCCATAGGGAGCTCCACCGAAGACCCCAAGGCCGCGGTCGCATGTTCTCCACCACCCAGCACAATTCTTCGTGGCCCCAGAGGGAGCTATACCGAAGGCCCCTGTGGCCGCAACAGCATGCGCCTCCCCCACCCAGCACCGCGCTCAGTGGCCCCATAGTGAGCTCCACCAAAGGCCCCAGTCACCGCGGCCACTTCGTCTCCCTCACCCAATACAGCGCTTGGCGGCATAGGGAACTCAACCGAACGCTCCAGTGGCAGCAGCCGCATGCGTCTCCCCCACCCAGCACAGCGCTCTGTCGCCCCATAGGGAGCTCCACCGAAGGCCCCAGTGGTCGCGACCGCATGCGTCCCCCCCCCCCCACCCAGTACAGCGCTTGGTGGCCCCATAGGGAGCTGCACCGAAGGCCCCAGTGACCGCGGCCACATGCGCCCCCCCGCCCAGTACAGCGCTTTGTGGCCCCATAGGGAGCTGCACCGAAGACCCCAGTGGCCGCGGCCGCATGCGTTTCCCGCACCCATTACAGCACACCCCTTACGCGCTTCGCGGCCCCATAGGGAGCTCCACCTACAGCGGTACCCACAATGCAGCATTCACAAGTGCATATGGTTGGAAATGTTTGGCACGATCAGTGGTGATTCCTGTGCTTCTCCGGTCAGGTCGACTGCTCGTCGCAGCGGCTGGGCTGCTTGATCCAAAATCCGCTGCGCTTCGCGCATCCTCAGGCTATCCCAAGACTCTCCAAGAAGGCCTCCAGACGCTCCAAGAAAGTCACGATCTGACATCAAAACTGCCCCAGGGGCCCCCAAGATGGCCCCAGAGGTTCCAAGCGGACGCCCAGGAGGACCTTGGGAGCAAAAGAAATGATCGTCCTCCGGGGTTCATATCTTCTTGGTGCTTCGCGTATCCCAACCAGCCCGGTGCCCTTACCAGTTGCTGGACCAAGGGCCTGACGCATCTCAGTTGTGGAAGGTTCTCTCTGGCTGCTCTGTTTCCACACCCTGGATGCGTGTTCTGGCGTCGCGATGTTCTGGTCCGCCGTCCGGGCTCCCCGCTGGACTGTGTCACCAGTCAGTCTGTGCTACCCGTCAGACTCCTTGGATTGATGTCTTCGGGACCGTTCCTATTGGTTCGTATCCGAACTGTTGGGAGCGCCTCACGCGCCATTTTGGCTGCGCTCGGCTTCCTCGGTGCCTGTGTTCAGACTCCCTGGATGCGCCGTTGCATGTTTCGTTCAGGGGCTGCTGCCCTGCAGACTCCCTGGATTGCACGCCTTGGCTCAGACGCCCTGGGTCGCTGCTGCCTGCCGCCTGACCGCGGCCTCGCGCGCGCCCGCCTCTTAGTCGCGGCCGCAGCCCGACCGCGACCGCCCGCCGCTGGCGCTTCCGCCTGCGGCTGTAAATATTTTATTTTAAAAAAAATAAAAATAAATCCCAACCAGCCCAACCAGAAACGAAGCCCATGCGAGTTGCCTTGATTGTGGGAGCTTCGAGTGCGACAAACGGGGGGCAGCCGTCAAAACGAAGCTCTGGATCAGCCTCAGCAGACCTAGGAAATAGCCATGCAACTTTGTGGGAACCCTTTTCGTTGGGGATGGTCTCAGTGCTCCTTGACTGTTTTACAGTTTTCCTTGGGTTGTCCTTAGACTCTCGATGCGAAGAATCCAAGTTTAACTCGTGGAGAAAAGGAGCCTCGTTCCTTATCTGGGGTTCCTTATGACAGCGTGTCGGTTGTCCTGCGCCCAGGAGGCCAGTAGGCCTCTGCTCAGAGGCTGCGCGCTCCAGAAGAGGGGCCTCGCCCTCGAGCCTCGAGGGGCAGCTGCCGGTCGCTGCCCCGGGCGGGAGGGCGGCAGAACAGGGCGGCGGAGGGCGGCGGAGGCAAAGAGCGCGTCCCCAACCTCCTCCTCGTCCTCCTCCTCGTCCTCCTCCTCGTCCTCCTCCTCGTCCTCCTCCTCCTCGTCCTCCTCCTCCCCCTCCTCCTCCTCCTCCTCCTCCTCCTCCTCCTCCTCCTCCTCCTCGCCCCCAGAAAGTGCGTCCCCAAGAGGTGGCACTTTGGAATGGGGGAACACGTGGTCAGGTGTTAGCAGCCCGCGTGGGCCCCCCACAGTGTGCCAGCGTGTAGCCAGCGTGCCAAAAAGGGCATCGGCTTCTAGGACAGAAGGAGTTGTCATCTCGTCCTCGGCGGGAGGTCGGCGGAAGGCGGCGGAAGCAAAACGGCGGCGGCTCCGCCGGCGGAAGCCGAAGGAAGCTCGGCGGAAGCCGGCGGAAGCGAAAGACGACCTCCCAAGAGATAACAACATGTTTGGGTTGAGGGTTTCCGGAATCCGCCAGATGGCGGGCTCCAGCTTGGCATCGCTGGGGCGTGTGCCTTTTTTGATGGCGAGGGCTATCGAGGAGCATGTCTTGTTCACCCTGCGAGGAAAAAACACGCACGAGGCAAGAGAATGCACAGGGAGTGGACGTCCGAGCGATGGCCAAGCCCCTGCAAACAGGGCCTTTCTAACCGGGGCGGTAGCTAAGGGGCCTCTTCAAGTGAGAACAGGGCGACAGGGCATTTACCTCGCACTAGTACGTGATAAATCGGGACGACAAAAACGCGGTCGATACATCGTCATAACGCTGGGCCGGGGGGATTTACCTCGCACATGTGCGCGGCAGATCAGTTGTTGGAAGACATGCTTGAAAACGCAGCTTTGGCTACCGGTCCGTTCACCAACGCCCCGTTGGCAGGGGCTTGGTATAGCGAGCCAGACAGGGCCTCGCTTTTGGCGCCTCCCCCCCGCGACGGGAGCCGGCGGAGAACTGCCGGCGGAAGCAGGACCGCGCGACGGGTTCGCCGGCGGAAGGCCGGCGGGGGTAGAAAAGCCCAGGCCTCCCAGATAGGGTCCTCCTCCTCCTGCACCCGCTTCCGCCCTCCTCCTCCTCTCTTCCTCCTCCTCGTTCTCTTCTCTTCTCTCCTCCTCCTCCTCCTCTGCCTCCTCCTCCTCCTCCTCCGCCTCCTCCTCCTCCTCCTCCTCCTCCTCCTCCTCCTCATCCTCCTCCTCCTCCTCCTCCTCCTCCTCCTCCTCCTCCTCTTCCTCTTCTTATCATTTTGGCTCAAGCCCCTGTTGTACGCAGAGGACGTCCGTCGCAACAGAAACCTGCAACGATGAGCGACAGCATATTCACAGTCATGATGGGTGCGCGTTGCAAATCTGTGTTCTCTGTACATATCTATGACAGGCGCGCTATCTCTGCGGACGCCAGGTGACAACGATGCGAAAGAACGTGGCACTACCAGACTGGCGCAACGACACTCATATGTGACATTCGATGCTATGAGCGAAGCTCTTGATCCATGGGAGATTCCATCGTTAACAGACGACGGTACAGAGTTCGATGATTGGTTGTACATCCCATGTGTGTACCACCTTGTTGAAAAGACGTTGGAAGGTAGACAAGGAGCGTCTCGAGATGAAGTGGCAAAGTAGTGGGGTTCGTGCAGCATTTCCTGCAGCTATGGCAAGCACTCTACAAATGTCGTCGCTTCTGGACTCGGCAACTTCATGTACATTGATAATGTGAAAGCTGGCGGCTCATCTATCCGTTTCTTGTTGGACAAAGCGTTTCAGTCAAATTGGTACACGGGTGGCTTTTACACGCGACGACCAACGGGTAAAAAGGCAGGTGTGGGTACGTAGATGTTTCTCTATTGCTGACTACCCAGAGCATGGAATGTTGTTCAAATGTTCAATGGTGCGCGACCCCGTGGCTAATTTGAATCTGAGGTCAGGCTGGCATGGATTCAATACCCAGACACATAGAAGAAGATGAGCGCCAATGATGTCTGATATTCAACAGAGAACGCAATCGCAGCTCAGAGTTAAAGTTGACAGTGAGCATGTCTGGTCGTCGTCATACAAGCTCTTCATTTTCGATAGCTGCCCGGGCCATTCTCTAACCCATGTAGATTCGATCGGGCAGCTGGAGCATTCCAGAGGGCATTCGGCGACCAGTGTTGGTTCCATGAAGACTGTCAGTGAAGAGGCAAAAGTCAATTTAGCAAGCCATGTGCATGGGAGAAAGCTATCATAAGCCGGAACCAAGCGCTTGAGTGCACCAGTGCTGTGCAAATTTAAATGGCCATGCTTGTGCTATCCTCTTCCAGACGTGTGTCAGTGATGCATCACCGTGAATGGATCTCCCATCTCCCTATCTTGACAACTTCATCGCCGTCAGATTCACGCCCATTGTAACAAAGTCGTATGAATGCATTAGCGACTCGCTGGCACGCGTTTCGCGCGCCGACAGGTGGTTGGAGCGCAATTGGCGTCTCTTCCTCCTCCTCCTCCTCCGGCTCGTTCTCCTCTTCCTCCTCCTGCCTGGGAAAAAAACGGCCTCAGCCCGGTGGGCTGGGGGGTCAGAAATCAGGAATGCGCGGTGTGAGCCTCCAAGCCTACCAAGTGGGGTTGCAGGATCGCGCCGCATCGCCGATGCATCGACGATACGGCTCGATCTGGAGCCCGATCTTCTCCAAGCCGAAGTCGCCGCTGCGTCGCAAACGTCGCCGATGCATCGCCGATGGGGATGTATCGGCGATGCGGCGCGATCTTCCGACCCCATCTACTCGGACCCCATCTAGGAGGCCTATACATTTTGATCCAGGGTTGCCGGAGTCGGCCAGGTGAACGACGCAGAAGAACGGGTCCGAGCGTGCCCACACTCGCGCGCAAGCTGCCCGCGTCAACTCGCGCGTGGGCTCCCTCACTCCAAGGTAGCCGCCGCGCAATGTCGCTGTATGCCATCGCACGGAAGGCCTGTTGTCTTTTCGTCGCTTCTGTGGAGTCTGCCGGGTGGTGGAGTCCCAGCGGCACGCCTCGGGCGCACTTCGGCCTGGGGCCCGAGGTGGCGGGCTCGTTTTGTTCTGGTGCACGTCGGTGGTTTGGCAAGGCACGAGAGGGGGCCGCTTCCTTCTCCTCCTCCTCCTCCTTTCCCTGCTCCTCTTCCTGCTCCTGCTCCTCCTTCTGATCCTCCTGCCTCTCAGAGTTATCGCCCTGCATCTCCTCCTCCTCCTCCTCCTCCTCCTCCTCCTCCTCCTCCTCCTCCTCCTCCTCCTGCTGCCCCTCCTTCTGATCCTCCTGCTTCTCAGCAGTAACGCCCTGCACATCCTGCTGCTGCTCCTCCTCCGAAGAAGAAGAAGAAGAAGGAGGAGGAGGGGGAGGAGGAGGGAGGAGGGAGGAGGAGGGAGGAGGAGGAGGAGCTTTTGCGAGCCTCCCGCCCCGCGGACTGGGGCGACGCGCTGTCCGCCCGCAGGGCACAGCGTGTCGCCGGGCCACCGCCGCGACACGCGAGGCAAACTTTCCCGGCAGCACGCTGTCGGAGGTCCGCGCGGAGTTCTTGGGCCGTTTCGGCCCGCCTGGCGGCACCGCGGGCTTCGCTCCTGGCGCGCTCGATCGCGCCAAGGAAGGGGGTCCAGCGCAGATCCAGGGAAGGCCGCGCGCACATTCGAACGTTTCGTGCTGATGCCGTATCTCTCATGCTGTGTGCAGCCTTGGCCGGCTTCCGTCTACAACGGCCGGCGTGGCGACCCAATATCAGACGTGGGGTGATTTTCGAATGGACAAAAATCATGTGGGCCCATTTCGGGGATGTGCGATCGAGACGTCCATCCTAGAAAGAGGTGCGTCCGAATAGTCTCATGCGGATGCATCCCAGAGTCTCCCTTCTGTACTAAGCGGCAAGTTGTTTGGGGGGAGTCGGGGATTTGGGGCGAGAAATCGCCTGCGACTCTAGTTTGTCCAGTCCTGGCGACGGCCTCAACCCACATAGTTTGGGGTCGCGTCACCTCCAGTTGTCCAGCTTCCCCCGCAAGTTTGTTCCAGCCATTCTCGCCCCGTCAACCTTCACCCAACTTTCAGCTACCATGTGTTCCAGCTTCTCTGTGCAGTGTGCAGGTGCCATTCCCAACTTGGGCCCCCTGCCCAGGATCCGTTTGAACTTCGCTGCTGGTGGGTACCGCACCATGTCCCAGGGTTTCTGGCGTGCGAGGGGCTTTTCGAACTCTCCATGCCGTGCGAGCCACAAAACTTCCAGAGGTATTCGCCGCCGACGGTTCCTCCTCCTCCTCCTCCTCCTCCTCCTCCTCCTCCTCCTCCTCCTCCTCCTCCTCCTCTGTCCTCCTCCTCCTCCTCCTCCTCCTCCTCCTCCTCCTCCTCCTCCTCCTCCCCATGATTGCTCGCCTGTCCGGCCAGGCACGAGCGCCGGCGAGCTGCCCGACAGTGTGACCGTCATGGTGGGCTGCTGGAACGTGTTCGCGAGCGCGATCTCCGACGACGACGGCCTGGACGAGTGGTCTCCCGGGCAGCGCTGATCTCACCTGGCTGCCAGGAGTCCCCCGCCTCCCCTGGCCCCCCCGCCTCCCCGACCCCACTCCCGCCATGCCATTCCTCCTCCGACTCGCTCCCGCCCCACACTCTCTCCACCCCACCCCCGCCTCCCGCACCTCCCCTCACGCAATCAACGGTCTTCTTGGCGACCGTGCCCCTCCGCCTCCTGGGGGGCGAAGAACGGTATAAGATATGTCCGCCGTCGGGGACGCTTGCCCCCCGGGCGGCTGCAAAGTTTGTACCCCTACGATGCCAAGTAGGTGTATAGACTTTCCAGCCGCCAGGGGGGCAGGCTTCCCCGAGGGCGGACAGGTTTATCTTGTACCGTTCTCCTGGCATCGCTCGGACGTGTGCATTTTTCCTTCGGCGAGGACCGTCGAAGAGCATCCCTGATCATTTGGCGAAAAGACCACGCTCGAAACCAAAAAGAGCACAGGGAATTGGACGTCCGAGCGACGGCCAGTTCTTCGCCCCCTCAGACGCCTGCACACGCCCCGAAGCCTCCTGCACACACAGACACCTGCCCCCGGGTGGCCCTCCCACCGGGGCTATGGGGCCCCCACGTGGGCGGCTCCCTCCTCGCCCTCCCCTTCGCGTTCCGACCGCAGTCCACCCCTCCTCTTGCGCCCAGCTGGAGGAGGAGGAGGACGGAAAACAGCAGCAACAACAATAATAACAGCATCAGCATCAACAACAACGACGACGACGAAGACAACAATAGCACTACCAACAATAACAACAACAACAACAACAACAACAACAGCAACAACAACAACAACAACAACAACAACAACAACAACAACAACAAAATCATTGTATGACTGTTCGCTCTCATCTGCTCGCGTGCCACTCAACACGCAAATCCCAAACCCTCGATACCAGCTCTTTTCGTCTTCGATCGTACCCCCTTGGGGGTATGTCTTTCTTCGCTGCAGCGCGTATTTCGTGCAGCCCCGTAAGTCAGAGGAGGAGAGGACGGATGGCAGGGAGGGACAATCGGGGGTGGACAGAACCCCCAACAGTGACACGTCGATTAGTGAATTGTCCGTTTTCGGTTTTCGAGAGGGCGCCGTAGCCGTTCTTTTCCAGGCTTGCGCCCGCCAGGCTTGGGCCTCGGGTCGTTTTCACGAAACCACGTGTTGCTAAAGGGGGGTCCTGTCCATCCCCGAGACAAGGGGAAGGGAGGAACATGGAGCACGAGAGAGAGAGAGAGAGAGAGAGTAGCAAGGGGCCGACGCCGGCGAGGGGGCCCTCAGCCGCCGCGGGGGCCGGGGGGCGGCGGGCGGGCCCAGCAGAGGCCTGCCAGAGGAAGGGAAGGGGAGGGGGAGGAGGGGGGGGGAGAGGGAGGAGGGAGGAGGGGGGGGGAGGACGAGGAGGGGAGGGGGAGGAGGAGGAGGAGGAGGGGAGGAGGAGGAGGAGGAGGAGGAGGAGGAGGGCTAGGAGCAGAAAGCGCGTGGCAGAACCGGACAGGCATCTCGGGCGGGCAGACCCTGGCAGGCGGGGGTCGGCAGGGCGGGCGCCCCAGGCGGCGGCAGGGCCGCGCAGCCGGGAGCTGCGGAGAAGCGAGCGCCCGGCGGCCTCGCGAGGGGGTCTATAGAGCGGCAGCGCGGTGCCGGAGCAAATCGGGCCGGGCGAAAGGGGCTTGGCAGAACCGGACAGGCATCTCGGGCGGGCAGACCCTGGCAGGCGGGGGTCGGCAGGGCGGGCGCCCCAGGCGGCGGCAGGGCCGCGCAGCCGGGAGCTGCGGAGAAGCGAGCGCCCGGCATAGGCCTCGCGAGGGGGTCTATAGAGCGGCAGCGCGGTGCCGGAGCAAATCGGGCCGGGCGAAAGGGGGGGATTGGGAAAGGGGGGGTTACGAAATCTGCTGCATGCAGCTGGCTTCGGCCCCACGGAGGGGCCCATGCCTCGATGCATGGCCGCCTCCGGCGCCGGGAGGCGCCGGGAAAGTCAGCTAGGTGAGCTGATTCTCAAACCCCCCCTTTGCTATCCCCCCCTTTCGCCCGACCCGAGCAGACCGTCGAGACATCCACAGCGAGAGCGTGGTTCTTGATTGTCGAGGGCGCGGCGTCGGAAGAAGTTGCGAGGGGGTCCCGCGCGGGAGGTCGGTTTCTGCGCACGTGGTGAGGAGGTCCCGCACGACGGCGCGATGTGGGAAGACAGTGTGAGGACGTATCAGGCGGGGGCCGCTGTCGTTGTAAACCAGGAGCCAAAGACAAGTCTAAGACCCAAGGCTATCCCTGAGAAAAACCGGGTGCGAGCTCCGGGAAGGGCATTGCATCTGAAAAACAGAATCTGCCCTGGAGGAGTGATCAACCATATTTATTTCTCAGTTGTCAGATTCCAGCAAAAACAAAAACAGCAGGAGGAAGACGAACAGGAACAGGAACGGGAACGGGAACGGAAGCGACCACATCATCAATAACAGCAGCAACAACAACAGCACCACCACCAATTTCTTTAGGAATGCGAGGTCAACAACAAAGAAACAAACGTCTAGGAGGGGAGCCCCCCTTTGGCCCCGCTCAAGCAGGAGCAAGAGGAGAAGGTGGCGGAGGCTCTGAGGTGCACCCCCTGGACCACCACCCCGTGGTTTCAACGTGCACCCCTCGTCGTCGTCGCCGTCTTCGTCGTCGTCGGGGTCGGCGTCGTCGTCGTCGCCGCCGTCGTCGTCGGCGTCGTCGTCGTCGCCGTCGTCGTCGGCGTCGTCGTCGGCGTCGCCGTCGCCGTGGTCGGCGTCGTCGTCGGCGTCGCCGTCGTCGTCGCCGTCGTCGTCGTCGCCGTCGTCGTCGTCGCCGTCGTCGTCGTCGCCGTCGTCGTGGTCGGCGTCGCCGTCGGCGTCGTCGTCGTCGTCCGCGGATCCCGCGGGCGGCCCCGCCGTGCCCAGGCTCCTGGCTGGGGGCGCGTGCGGCCCCCCCGACGTGCTGGCGCTCGGCTTCCAGGAGGTCATCGACCTGCACCCGGCCACCGCGCCCCGCCTGCTGGGGAGGGGGAGGAGGAGGGGGAGGAGGAGGAGGAGGAGGGGGAGGAGGAGGAGGAGGAGGAGGAGGAGGAGGAGGAGAAGGAGGAGAGGCGAGGAGGCGAGGAGGAGGAGACGAGACCAGCGCCCTGGCGCAGCAAATGCAGCATCTGGGCCCAGGCCCCCCCACGCCCCTATGCCTCCCTCTCTCCTCCTCCTCATCCTCCTCCTCCTCCTCCTCCTCCTCCTCCTCCTCCTCCTCCTCAGGTTGGGAGGCAGTGGGGGGGCAGCGAGGGGTGTTTAGGGGCCCTAATTAGAGGTACGTCGTAAGGCCCAGATGGGAGCCATCGGGGCCCGCAAGAGGCACCCTTCTCTACCCCCCCCGTGGATCGCCCCTCACCAATTCGCGCCCAGGCTGGCTCCTCGCTCCTCCCCTGGAACTGGGAACGGATGGCAAGAGAATCCGTAGGATGTTGCCCCCCCCTCCCCCACTGGCCGTTGCCCCCTGACGGGGGAGGGTGAAATACGCAGCACCCCGCAATTGCGGATACGAGTGAGGGGGCGGGCGCGGGCGACGCGGGCGTCGAGCCGGCGGACCTCGTGGCCCTCACTTTCCTTGTCGATGGCGCCCTCCTCCTCCTCCTCCTCCTCCTGCTCCTCCTCCTTCTCCTCCTCCTCCTCCTCCTCGTCCGCGTCCTCGTCCTCACCGTCGTCGTCGTCGTCGTCGTCTTCGTCGTCGTCGTCGTCCGCCTCTCCTCCACCTCCTCCTCCTCTTCCTCCTTTTCCTCCTCCTCCTCCTCCTCCTCCTCCTCCTCCTCCTCTTTCTCCACATTCTGTTTACATCCTCTCTTCTTCCGCGTCCTCGTTGTCCCCATATGTACTCCTCTGCCTCGCCCTTTGTTCCACTGAATGCTTCCACTCAAAGCTTCCTATGTTCCACTCCAATCCTTGTTCCACTGAATGATCCTCGGCTTCTCTGATCCAGGCAACTCGCCAGGGTAAAGTTGCTGGATGGGTTTGGAGTGGATGAGCGGAGCTTGAAGAGGTCTTTGGGGGCTAAGGCGGCATGCAAGATCCGCCGCCGCGCTTGTGCGGCACTGGCGTGCTGCGTGGTAGGGTTCGTGGACGCCCCCCTCAGGAGGGTCCTTGAGCGCCCCGAGGCCCCTTAATTGTGGACGCCTTGAGGCAGCTCCCCCTGAACCCAGGCTTTGGGCAAGGATGCCGAAATGCAGCAGGCAGCTGGATTGTCAATGAACGTGTTCGGACACAGCCCCGCCACAGGCGCCGATGTGTTGTTGTAGAGTCAACGTGGGCCGGATCGGGGGAATGGCACGAGGGCGCTTTCACAAACCAATGCGAGCATGCCCGCCGCAGGCGCCGATCTGCCTGCTCTGACAAGTTCAGCGCGGGGGGATCGCTGGTGGGCCACCCGGAACGAATGCGAAAATAGCCCGCCGCAGGCGCCGAATTTTTGGCTTGTTCAGTGAACGTAGTCTGGGTCGCGGGTGGGTCGCGGGCTCCCCACCTCCACCTGGAAGGATTTCCAAAACAGCCCGTCGCAGGCGCCGACCATTTTGATTTGCACGCTGAACGCGGTTTGGGTCGCAGGTTCTCCACCTGGAACGAACGCAAAAGAAACCCGCCGTAGGCGCCGAAGTTTTGGTTTGCTCAGTGAACGTAGTTTGGGTCGCGGGCTCCCCATTTCCACCTGGAAGGAATTCAAAACCAGCCCGGGCCGCAGGCCCCGACAATTATGACTCGCACACTGAACGCGGTTAGGGTCGCAGGCTCCACCTGGAACGAATGCAAAAGAACCCCGCCGTAAGCGCCGAAGTTTGGGTTTGTTCAGTGAACGTAGTTTGGGTCGCGGGTGGGTCGCGGGCTCCCCATTTCCACCTGGAAGGATTTCAAAAACAGCCCGCCGCAAGCGCTGATAATTTTGATGTATACACTGAGCGCGGTTTGAGTCGCGGGTGGGTCGCAGCTTCTCCACCTGGAACGAATGCAAAAAAGACCCGCCGCACGCGCCGAACATTTTGGGTGAGTCGCGGGGTGGGTCGCGGGTGGGTCGCGGGTGGGTCGCGGGGTGGGTCGTGGGTGGGTCGCGGGGTGGGTCGCGGGTGGGTCGTGGGTGGGTCGCGGGGTGGGTCGCGGGTGGGTCGCGGGGCGGGTCGCGGGTGGGACGACGACAACAATAAACAACAAACAACAAACAACAACAAGAACAAGAACCCGCATCGCGGAATTCCATTTCAGCCACGCACCCAGGGACAGTGAATGACCGTTCGGTTCAGCCCCTTCATTCTGATTTAGTGATGCATGTGTCTTGAAAATATGGGAAGCGACAGATGCCGAGGCCCCATGGGGGCGGGGAAGCTAGGTCCCCCAGCCCTCGTTCCTCGCTCTTGCCCCAGTTTTCGAAACGTGTTTGCTCCGCCCTGCAGGTTCTGGCCGACGCGATGCCGTTGCCATCGCTCTTGCTCAAGCTTCAGAAGCGGCCACCTTCCAGAGCCCTGCATGCTCCTGGAGGGCCCCCTCTGCGCTGCCGGGGCGCCTCCCTGGCTGGACCTGGGGCGTCGCACCGGCGCTGGACCTGGCGAGGCAGTGCACTGTGCAGAGCTCATTCGCGGACTACGTGTGGATCGCGCTGTACTCCACCTTCCTGATTGGGGTCGTCACGGGGTTCGCTCGCGCCCAGTGCTGCCATGTCTGTTCACTTCCGGCCTGGGAGGCGGGTCGCCGCGCAGTGGAGAGCCGGCGGGTCGTGGGAGGTCCGCGTCCTCATCGCGCGGTGCGGCGCGGTCGAGGCGAAGGTCGAGGGCGACGCGAGCGCGACTCCAGCTCAGGAAACAGCGTGTCATATCTGGTACGCGTTGACGCCCAATTTGGACATCTACCCGCACGTCCTCGCAGTCGACGAAGGGTTCCTGAAGGGCCTCGTGTGCTTCGACAACAGTGGCGTGGCGATCGCGGGATCGAACTCGGGGGCGAGATGGTTTCGCAGGAGTGCGGCATACGGCGACGAGTGGGACGCTAGCCCTCTGGAAGTGATGGGGGCTCTGGAGTTCGCGCAGCCGCCGCCGCCCGCCGTGCTGTCGCCAGGGGCCTGCCTGCACGGGAAGCAGCCGTTCCCAAGAGTGGGCGGGGGTACGAGGTCGTCACCAGCTCCAGCGACTGACTGCAACGCGGGCGCCGACGAGCTGCCCGACGCCTCGCCGCTGGAGTGTTTCGGTCTCGTCTCAACCGACGGGGCTGGTGATAAGCAAAGGCTGGCCAGTTTGAAGGTGGAGTCGTACGTGAGGATAGGCGACTACGCACTCGCGAAGCGGGAGGCAGTCTCCTCGTTGCGGTGGCCGTGGGTCCCGCCTCGCCCAGGGCCGACTTCGAGCTGGACGCGCGGTTTCTGTTTATGATCGTCCGCCCCTAGGGCATTCGGCACATGGCATTCAGCAAGGGCGCGAGCCTGCTCACCGAGAGCGCGTGGCCTGGCTGGCCGATCATGGGACCACGCACGGTGAAGTGGTGCATCGAGTTTCTGGCGAAGCAAGATCAGCATCCGCGAGCTCGCCACGCCAAGCGGGTCCACGAGGCGAACCTGGAGCCGTGGGGCGAGGGCGTGCAGGACCACGACTTGGCCAGGCGCATGTTCGAGATGGGGATCGTGTTCGACCAAGCGAACATCGCCGAGCACGCCGCTTACGAACTGCTGGCCAGAAGGGCCCAGATGGCCGAGTGGCGCCATCGTGACAGAGTCCCCGGCCAGTCGAAGGATGAGCTCTTCGATGATCAATTCCTCTACATGGGCACCGGCGAGACCCGAGAGTTGCTGATGATATCTCCCAGGCTGCAGGAGCATATCAATAGCGAGCTTCATCGTGAGGCGCCCATTCCCAAAGAGAAGAGGAAGGTTCGGGAGGAGAGAACGCTCGCTTGCAGAGGAGGCAGCGCGGGAGGCGGCTGAGGCGGTGGAGGAGCCCCCAGCAAAGCAGATCTCATGAAGAAGGTGCAGCAGCAGGCGGCGGAGCTGAAGCGGCTGCAGGCCAGCGGCAAGGGGGGGCGGCGGCAAGGGCGGCCTGAGTTCCGGTCCTGGCGGGGCCGGTGGGGCCAAGTGACCCGCCAGATGCCCGTGCCGCGGGGGCTGTTCCCAGTGGGCGGCGGCCGATTCCCCTCGGCGGCTCCTGGCGGAGTCGCCTCGATAGCTTGTCGCTCGGTCCGCTCGCGGTGCCGTCGGCGATGCTTCATCGACAATCGGGTGCGCGAGGCTTGTGAGAGCCTCAATCTTTTGGCGGGCGTTCATCGGCAAGGACTGGGGCGGGCGCCTCGACGGCTCAGGCAGAGAGCCTCCGTCACGCGCGACAAGTCATCAGCAGCGCGGGGTCTCCTCCATGCAGCGCCGCGGAAACCCATCGGGAGCTTTGCGGTATCGCGCCCGGCTATGACATGGAGCCGGCGCATCGCGCGGCGCACCAACGAGGCCGAGTTTCTCTGCCGCCCCCGGGCACGCGGCGCAGGCCTGCGAGCGCGCTGAAGGGTGACGTGCTTGATCAATGGGTACTATGGCAGCAGCGCGCCCTGCGTCATAACCCCGCCGACGTAGAAGACATCGGGCCCTGCAGCGACCAGAGCCTCGTCAGGAACCGCAGCGGCTACGCCATGTTCATCGCGGACCTCGCGAGGCGGGGCCTGGCCTGTCTCGGCAAGAGACGACCTCGTACTGTCGGGGTCTTTTCTTCGTGCTGAAGCCCGACGAAGTGCGGACCCGGATGATATTGGACACTCGAAAGGTGAGTTCAAGATTCGTTGATCCTGTTTACACCCAGCTTGCTACTGCTTCGGCGTGGGGCCCCATGAAGGTCCGCTCAGACGCCGAGCTCAACTTGGCGCAGGCCGACGTGGGCAACGCCGTCTACCGCATCGAGCTGGCGCTGGGCATGAGCAAGCATGTCGCCATGCTGGCGGCGAGCAGGGACTGCTTGGGCGCGGCCCTGTGTCAGGATCCCTGAACTGCCCGATGGGGCCATGATCTCGCCGCCCTTGGATGTTTTACCTGTGGGGCGGTCCTGGTCATTTCACTTCTACCAACGGTTACTTAAACAATGCGTGCTGGATGCTGGGCACCCCGTGACATCGCTCGCTCGCGACCGCCATGTGGCTCCCGATCTGGCACAGTCTCCCTTGGCATCGGGGTCTATGTGGATAATGTCTCGGCGGGCAGGGTTCTTCTTTTGCCGTCGCTGCCTGCGAGCATATTGTCGGCGAGATGGAGAGCGCGGGTCCCGCCTGCAAGGGCGCGACGCCGCCCGGGGATAGTCGAGCGCTCACCTGTGCGATTATTGACAAGAGTACTGCTACAATCAGGATGACAGTTTCTCGCGCATGGAAGACTAGGCTGGCGATGCTCTGGATTGCCGACAAAGGTTGGCCTACTAGCGACGAGCTCGCGCGGCTCATCGGCCACTTCACCTGGCGCGCCCTGCCGCGCCGCTGCCTGCTGAGCATACCGTTCCACGCCTACACTAGCGAAGCGGGCAGCTCGCAGCGCAGGCCCCGGGGAGAGGTGGAGACGAAGCTCAGGCGAGCGGGGGCCCCGGTGCCATTCGCGCTCGCGGACTGCAGGCGCCTCGACGACGCGACCGCGCTGGCCGCGGGCGCTTCGGGCGCCGGCCACTGACTTCGACTGCGGCGGGCTCGGGGTCACGAGCTCGAGCGCGACCCGACGGCTGTCCAGCTCGCCGCGGCGCAAAGCGAGCGGCGACGATGCGGCGCGGGCACCGCCATTGCCGCCCGCGCTGCCGCACTGGGTTCGGCGGCTCCAGGTCTGCCACGCTGCGCGCCCCAGCTCAAGGCGGCGCCGCGCGAGCTAAGGGAGGCGCCGGTGGAGCAGGCAGCGCGGGAGCGGCCGACGCAGGCGGGCGCCGGCCCCCCCGCGGGGGACCAGCCCGCCGACGCTGCACTGGCGACGTGGCACCACCGACTTCACCGCGGTGCCCGAGGTGCTGGTCGGCGACGAGCGCGGCTGGAGGGCGCTGTTTAGGCGGGCGGTTCAGGCGGCCCGAGGAAATCATGACTTTGGAGGCGCGCGCTGCTCTCATGGGCGTCAGGCACCGCCTGCGGGCTGTCGGGCGCCGTCATAGGCGCCACCTTTTGCTGATCGATAACCTCTGCCTCGTCCTTGCCATGGGGAAAGGGCGATCAGCGTCGGCCAGCGTCAATCGTCAGCTTCGTCACCTCGCTGCCCTGTCGATCTTCTCAGGGTGTACCTTCACCGGGCGCTGGGCCCCATCAGCGCGGCAGCCAGGGGGCGCCCCGTCGCGAATGGCTCCGGCTCAAGTGGCAGGCCCTCGAGCAGATCCACGGCGCGCGCGCTACTCTGAGACCCGCTGCCGACGGCATGCCGCCGAGGCCTTGCGGGCCCAAGTTGACGAGGTCTTGCTCGGGGAGCGGGTCAACAGCGCCGCCGCGGGCCTCAGCGGGCTCGGCGGCCTGCTCGCCGGCGACCCCCGCGCAGGAGGTGCGACCCACGCCATGCATTGGGAGCCTCGCTGCGTCGGTGGAACGCCAGGGTCGACGACGGCCCGAAGTTCGAGCGACTGTATCTCCTCATCTTCGTCGAGCAGCAGCTGAAGTTCTATCGACGCTGGGCACGACAGCTGCGGCGAAGCTTGCTGCCCGGGCGGCCCACCAGCAACGGACCCACGGATTCAAGGCCCAGCCAGCGAAGCAGTTGGGGATAATTTTCCTGCAGTTCGAGAGGGCGGGCCACCACGCCAGGCGGAACTTCCAGCGCGAGCGGGACGAGTTCCGCCAGCGGTGCCAGGTTTGGGGCGTGAGCCCTCGGACGGTAGAGCAGGAGAACGCCATGATGCCCCTGTACCTCGATGCGTCGTTCTTCGCGGGCTACAACCACGACCGCGCCGACGAGCTGCACGCAGCCGCGCGCTACTTCCCGCCGAACGCGGGAGTAGGCAACCACAGCAAGATGGAGGCCACGCTGGCGGCCATGAAGGGCCACCGGCGACTCGGCCACGGGCAGACGCGCTTCCCCTTACCGAAGCCGCTGGTCTTTGCGGCGGTGGGGCTCGCCCTCCATTGGGACTGGCGCGACATGGCCATCGCGCTGTGCTTGAGCTGGGGCGCGTACTTGCGCCTCCCCACCGATCTGCTGCAGCTGACGGGAGCCTCGCTGCTGCCGCCCACCCGCGTGAGAGGGCAAGCCCTGCCAGCCGCCGGCACGCGGGCCCTGCTGCTGTACCCAGAGGAGCAGCCGCTGCGGAGCAAGGCCAGGCAGCGCGACGAGAGCGCGGCCCTGGCGGCCAGCATGTCGACCGTCATCGGCAGCCAGCTCCAGTGCATGACGGACTAAGCCCGCCGCGACGGGCGGGCGTGAAGTTGTCCTCGCACGAGTTTGGCAGGCAGTTCCGCGCGCTGTTCCGCGCCCTTGGCCACGACAAAGCCCACCCCATACCAGGTGCGCCACGGGGCAGCCAGCTGCGACGCGGCCGAGGGCAAGCGCGGCCTGGCCGATATCCAGTTCAGGCTGCGCCATGCTACGGACCGGCCCAGCAAGCGGCACGCGCAGCACGCCAGGTACCTGGCGGAGCTGGCCCCAGTCCCAGTGCCCATCCTCATCTACGGGCGCCAGGCGGAGCCGCGGCTGGCAGAGGTGATCGCGGGGCGGCGCAAGCTAGCGCCACCTGCCACATCGACGGCGACGGCGCCGCGATCAACGAGCGAGTCTGGAAGGCGGGCGACGCAGGTCAGACATATCAGCGGGTCTCTCATTCAGTTCTGCTTCGCAAGTGTCGGCGGGCCCTTCGAGAAGCTTTCCGCTGCGGCAGGCGCCGCGGGCAAGTTTTCCTGGATCTCTTCTCGGGGGCCCGAGGCGTCTGCAAGGAGCTCGAAAAACATGTGGACTGGGGCGTCGTGCATCTCGGCGTCATCGATGACGAGGCCTTCGATCTGACGAACATCGCCCTCATCCGATTCATCAAGGGCTGGATCTCGGCTTGGGTGGTCCGAGGTGTTTTCCCGGCCCCCCCCGTTCGACCTGGTCAGACGCATTCCTCGGGTTTTATCGGGCCATCTCCTCGATCCAAGGGAAACGCGAGCTCGACGACAAAGCGAAGCATCGCGTCTCGATCGGGAACACTACGCTCAAACACCGCCAAGCCATCGTCATGTCGTGCCTTAATTATTTGGTCCCGGTCGTCTTAGAGAATCCGCTGACCTCGCCGATGTGGAGCCCGTCCAGGAGAGCCTCGTCGAGCATAAGACGTGCGTGTCTGCTGCAACTGACTTTTGGCAGCACGGCACGAGATGGAGAAAGTCCACCAAGTTCGAGGTTGGAACGTTCTGGGCGTTCCTCTGGTTCTTGGGAAGAGATGCTCTGGGAGAAACGGAATATGTTCGGTGGCCGGTCTTGGGCAGATCACGCTCCAAGGAAACGTTCCCGGGGGAAAGAAGTGGACGCAAATCGCTAAGCCCTACCCTAGAAAGAGTAGCTAGTGCCTCTGCTAGATGGATCGTCCGTAGTGCCTCCAGCACAGAGCATGCTAGATGTGTTTCGCTCCTCGTGACAGGACAGCATGTGGTGAGGCAAAACAACCTCAGCTGATATTTGTATATGGTTTCTGGCCGCGTCCCGTGAGAATGTCATGTGGTTTCTGGCCGTCCAGTTTGACAATTCGATCCTGAACTGATCATTGTATATGATTTCTGGCTGGGCCCCGTGATAGTTTTATCTTGTTTCTGGCCGTTCAGATACATATGCTGGTCAGTGTCGGCCGCCCGGAATCCAGTCTGGGTATTGGAGACCCGCCGGCGAGAAATTCGATCGGTCCGAACGGGCCTCTCGACGGTGTGCGGTCAAAACTGCGCTCTCAGACAAACGCTCTGGCCAGTGAAAAGGCGCCGGGCGTGGAGCATGCCCCAATTTTCAAAACGTGTTTGCTCCGCCCTGCACAGTCTGGCCGACGCGATGCCGTTGCAATTGCTCTTGCTCCATTTTCCATCCTCCCTTCGCCTCCACCGCCGTTCTTTAGTTTTGTTTCCTTGCATGATGTCTTTACCATCAGTGGAGATTCGCCAGCGAGAAAGTCGATCGGCCCGAGACGCCTCCCGACGGTGTGCAGTCAAGCCTGCGCTCTCAGACAAACGCTCTGGCCAGTGAAAAGGCGCAAGGCGGGGAGCATCCTCCTCGTCGTCCTCCTCCTCCTCCTCCGTCTCCAATCCTTTTCCTTACAAATGTATCCTCCCTGTCGAACCCGCAGACGTGTCGGTAGAGCGGGCCATGCGTTTCGCTTGAGACGTCTTCGCCGTTTGTCATCTTGAAGCTTGAGATGTGCAACAGCTTCGAGGATGCAAGACGGGCCGTTTTCAAAATGTGGTTCTCGCGCGAACGCCCCGCACGCTCGGCTCAAGCAATGAATTACTTTGACCGTTGGAGGGCGGTCCGTGTTCAAGATGGCGCTCTTGCTCTGCCCCCGCGCACATTCGTTCTGAAAGTTCGCAGCAGCGTCACAGGTGGAGGGCGGTCCGTGTTCAAAATGTGGGCAGCTCATTTTAAAGCATGTGCCTTTCGCACTGAGGAGGAGGAGGAGGAGGAGGAGGATCGCACTTGCGCCGCGCACATGTGTTCTCAATGTTTGCAGCAGCTTTTAAGGGTTCATATGGTCAGAACTACCAAGAAAAAGGGGTCCTGGTACGATTTAGGACTATCAGGGCGCGACAGTCACGTTGATTCGCGGTGCTGAAATCCAAGAGACGTTGTTCTGGCACGTTTAGGGTTGTCAGTGCGCAGCAGTCAAGTTTATTCGTGATGTGCTGAGTTTCAGGCGTTGTGTTTTGTCGCGATTGAGGATTCTCAGAGGGTTGTCTTCCAATGAAGCACTTCCCGCAACGAACATAGCTCGAATCTGAAGAGGGGGGTTGGAAATACAGATTTCTGTAACATCGCTGATGCGCCTTAGGTTTACACTGGTCCTCCTCCTCATCATCCTCCTCTTCCTCCTCCTCCTCATCCTCATCCTCATCCTTCTCCTCCTCCTCCTCCTCCTCCTCCTCCTCCCCTCATCCTACCCTTCATCACGATTTGTCTCTTCCCCCTCCTCCTCCTCCTCCTCCTCCTCCTCCTCCTCCTCCTCCTCCTCCTCCTCCTCCTCCTCCTCCTCGATCCTCGCCATCGGTCCCCATAATATCCTCCTCCTCCTCTTCCCTCCTCGTCCTCCTCATCGTCCCCCCACCCTTCCCCACAGTGATCCTCTCTTCCTCTCTTCCTCCTCGTCATCCTCGTCATTCGTCTCATTGTCCTTGTCCTCCTTTTCGTCCTTCTCGTCCTCCTCCTCCCCCCCACTCCCCCATGAGGGAGGGGGGGCTGAGGGAAACGGATCCTGAGACTGTGCAGGCCAGGCCCAGCGCGGCCAGCCTCGAGGGTCTTCCTTTTCCTCAGGCACGCCGCAACTCAGACATGCTCGCGTCGTGGAAAAATAGCCTGGCGAGTGACCCAACCATATGCAGCGGTGGGTACCGCAGTCGTGAATGTCGTTGTCGGTGGAGCTCCTCGTGGTGGCACGAAAAGCGTGAAGGGTGTGCCAAAGTGGGACGGCGGCGGCACGCGGGCGCTGCCACTGGTGCCTTCGGTGGAGCTCCCCTTAGGGCCTTGGGTGTTGGGTGGAGCTCCCTACGGGGGCCACGAAACGTGTGAGGGGTGTGCCGACATGGGTGCGGCGGGCGCATGCGGGCGTTGCCTTTTGGGCCTTCGGTGGAGCTCCCTGTGGGGCCACGTCGCCTGTGAGGGGTGCGCAAACATGGGTGCGGCTGGTGCATGCGGGCGCTGCCTTTCCTTCGGTGGAGCTCACTGGGCAGCATGGGTGCGGCGGGTACATGCGGGCGCTGCCTTTTGGGCCTTCGGCGGAGTCTCCAATGGGGCCACGAAACGTCTGAGGGGTGTGCCAACATGGGTGTGGCCGGCGCGTGTGGGCGCTGCCTAGTGGACTTTCGGTGGAATTCCTTGTGGGGCCACGAAACGTGTGATGGGTGTGCCAGAATCGGCGCATCCGGGCGCTTCTTCTTGAGCCTTCGGTGGAGCTCCCCATGGGGCCACAAAACGTGTGAAGGGTGTGAATGGATGGGGGGAGGGCGGAACAGCGGCAAGGGTGGGGGGAGGGAGGAGGGGCGGAGGAGGAGCTGTGAGGAACCTGGGGCGCTGTCTCTGCAAAACGAATTCTCAACAGGAGGAGGGGGAGGAGGAGGAGGATGAGGAGGAGGAGGAGGAGGAGGATGAGGAGATGAGGAGGAGGAGGAGGAGGAGGAGGATGAGAGGAGGAGGAGGAGGAGGAGGAGGAGGAGGAGGAGGAGGAGGAGGTGGAGGAGGAGGCAGGAGGAGGAGGTGGAGGAGGATGCATGGAAACAAGACGGGAGGTTGTTTTTTGTCTTAGGCCTCGGGGGGGCCCTTACCAGGCCTCGAGGGCGTCAAACAACGACTCCGGATGAAGAATCAGTCCGGTTGAAGTGGTCAAGAGTCTCGAGAGGTCGGGGGCCCGTGTCTCGAAACATTCTAGACGGCGGATGTCTGGGAACGCTCCCAGGCGTGAGACGTCACCATGCAGTTATGATTTACTCATTTGTGAGTCTCGTCTTCGGTGGAGCTCCCTAAGGGGCCACGAAACATGTAAGGGATGTACAGACATGGGCGAGGTGGGCGCATGCGAAAGCGAGTGGGGGGTGTGCCGGCATGGGCACGGTGGTGCCATGCGAGCGCAGCCATTAGGGCCTTCGGTGGGGCTTCATATGGGACCACGAAGCGTGTGAGGGTGTGCCGACATGGGCGCGGTGGTGCCACGCGAACGCAGCCACTGGGGCCTTCCGTGGAGATCCTTATGGGGCCACGAAGCGTGTGAGAGGTGTGCCGACATTGGCGCGGTGGTGACATGCTGGCGCAGCCACTGGGGCCCTCGGTGGAGTTTCCTATGTGGTGACGAAACGTGTGAGGCGGGTGCCGACATGGGCGCGGTGGTGCCATGCGAGCGCAGCCACTGGGGCCTTCGGTGGAGCTCCTTGTCGGGCCACGAAGCGTGTGAGCGGTGTGCTGAAATGGGCGCGGTGGAGCCATGCGAGCGCAGCCACTGGAGCCTTCGGTGGAGCTCCTTGTGGGGCCACGAAACGTGTGAGGGGTGTGCCGACCTGGGCGCGGTGGTGCCATGCGAGCGCAGCCACTGGGGCCTTCGGTGGAGCTCCCTGTGGGGCCACGAAACGTGTGAGAGGTGTGCCGACATGGGCGCGGTGGTGCCATGCGAGTGCAGCCTCTGGGGCCTTCGGTGGAGCTCCTCACAGGGGCCACGCAGCGTGTGAGAGGTGTGCCGACATTGGCGCGGTGGTGACATGCTGGCGCAGCCACTGGGGCCCTCGGTGGAGTTTCCTATGTGGTGACGAAACGTGTGAGGCGGGTGCCGACATGGGCGCGGTGGTGCCATGCGAGCGCAGCCACTGGGGCCTTCGGTGGAGCTCCTTGTCGGGCCACGAAGCGTGTGAGCGGTGTGCCGAAATGGGCACGGTGGTGCCATGCGAGCGCAGCCACTGGGGCCGTCGGTGGAGCTCCTTGTGGGGCCACGAAGCGTGTGAGCGGTGTTGTTTCCCACTGACCGCACAGCCGGGCTCTGCGCGCCCGACCGCACGGTTCGTAGGCTCCCTCGGGAGCCCACTCGCTCAGTCCCCGACGCACCCGATGTCCACGAGGTTCACCGCCACGTCCTCGGACTTGCCCTCGGCCGTGCCTCCCCGCCCAGTCGGCCCGAAGCGGACGACCGCCATGCCGGCGCCGCCGTTCTGCACACGGCCCCAGCGCCCCGCCATGGGGCCCGCCGCCGCGCGCACCCCCGCGCCTCGCGGGGGCGGCCACCCGGCCCAGCCCGCGGCACCGCCGACGGGAGGCGACGGCTCCACCTTCTCGTCGGCGCACTCCGCGTCGGGCCCGCCTCCCAGCGGCGCGCGCGCGAGCTCGAGGCCGACGCGCGCCCCTCCGGCAGCTGCCCCGCCGCCCGCGGCCGCTCCGCAGGCTCCCGCCGCCGCGCCCGCGGCCGCCTCCGCCTGCTGCGCCGCCGCCGTCGCCGGCTTCGTCTCCACGTCGGCCGCGCGAGCAGGGGGCATGCCAGCAGCGGCCGCCGCGCCACTGCCAGGGCCCGCCGCGGCGGGCACCACCGCCCTGTCCGCCCAGGAGTCCTCCAGGGGGTCGTCGTCGTCGTCGCCCGTCGGCTCGGCGGCCGCGGCAGCACCAGCCGCCGCAACGGGAGGGAGCGCCCCCCCCCGCCCAGCGCCGACGCGGGTGTGGCGGGCGCAGGCGAGCGCAGCCGTTGGGGCCCTCGGTGGAGCTCCCCACGGGGCCACGAAGCGTGTGAGGAGTGTGCCGAAATGGTTGACTGGTGCGTAGGGCAGAGGCAGAGATGGGAGGATGGGGAGGAGGGGGCAGCGGGAGGAGGAACGCGGGGCGCTGTCTCCTCGAAACGAGGCCCCAACACCACAGGATAGTTGGGACAAATCGAGAGGGCGGATGCCTGGGAGCGCTCCCAGGCGTGAGGCGTCGCTCGAGGCTCTCTCTCTCTCTCTCTCTCTCTCTCTCCTCGGCCCTCTTGGGGCGAGGGGGCGTTCGTCCCGCGCGGCACCGGCAGGCAAACTGCGTGCTGAAGATGGGCGGCGACTACGAGCGAGAGGACGGGCTCTCCTCGCAGCCGGCTGCCGTTCAAGCTCCAGCTTCGAGGGGTTCACGCAACAGTGATCGGCGCTGGCGGGGGTCCGCCCATCCCCTCTGGCTGACCCGGGCTTGGGAGCCTCCGCAAGCCAGGCTTGGGAGCTACGAAGCAGCCGGCTGGGCTCTGCGACAGGGCCCTGACCGACCCGGTTCTGTACCGTCCGGGCTTGGTGCGTCCCCGATTTTCAGGAGGGGAAAAACACACAGACACAATGAATCGTCGAATCCCCAGAAAATATGGGGAAATATGGGAAGTGGGGGGGAAGACAGAAACCCCGAAAAGATGGGAAAATATGGGGAATATTTTTATTTGTGTGTATTCATTTGTGTGTCCCAGGGCCCCTTCAGATTTGGACACCCCGAATGTTTCTTGCGGCCACGTCCGCATTGGAAGTCCCCCCCCTCTGGGGCGCGGAGACAGTCGCGTTCCGCGTTTCGCAGCAGCTCCGTCCGCAGAGGTGCCCTCCCCCAAGGTGGCCGCGCGAAGGAGCGAAGATAGCCCCGTGCATCGCGGGGCGCGGGGCGCACAGCTAGGTGACCTAGGCAACCGGCACTCGCTGATCGGCGGCGCGCCCAGGGGGGGGGAGGCAACGGGGGCCCGGCCTTCTCAGAAGGTGGCGGGGCTTCTCGGAGGCCTTCCCGCTGGCTCAGGAGCCTTCCAAACCTCCGCCGAAACCACAGCCGGCTTCCAAGCCTCCTCCGAAGCCACAGGGGCCTCTGAGAAGCCCAGCCGCCTGCCGAGAAGGCTGGCATCCCATGTGCGAGCCGCCGAGTTGAGGCTGGGGTTCGGGGAGGTGCTCGCTGGCCCCGGCGTCGCTCGCTTTGCTCGGTGGGGAGACTTCGCCAAGCATCACGAGCATGTGCTTACGGGGGCGGTGGACGCAGCGAAGTGCGAGTGTAGAGGAGGAGGAGGAGGAGGAGGAGGAGGAGGAGGAGGAGGAGGAGGAGGAGGAGGAGGAGGAGAGTGCGAAGGCGAGTGGAGGGGGGTCTTGGAATAATGCAGAGGCAGCAGCACGAGCACGTGCCTATGGTTCGCTCTAGGCGCCATTAGTGCGCTGGCTGGGGTCTGTCCTCTTTGCACAACTCCAGTGGCACGTCCGAGCGGTAAGAGCGGCATCTGATACTGCGACAACTGCACCGGAAGAGACAGGTGTTAACCCGCAGAACCAGGATAGACATGTGCTGTAGTAGAGGATCTGGAGGATGCCGAGGCAGAGCGGGAGAGCGTTTGATCGAGGATCGTTGTACCGTATGTAGTTGGTCTGGAAGGGCCAGTTGTGAACGAGAGATATGAAGAGAGACTAATGAAGAGTTCGGTCGAGATGTGGATGGTGTGAGCCGACTGCCTCCCCCGCAGCACTCTGCTTGCATCACTTCCATGTCGTACAGTTGCGCGCGGTTCTGTGGATGACGGCGTGCACGCATCTGTATGCCGCACATCAGCGCGTACGCCAGTGCACGTGGTGGCCCCCGCCACTGCGCTGGCGCGGCATCGGATTGCGCGTAGCGTGGCTTTGCCGAGCTCTCCCGGAAGGTTCGGTGTAATGATCACCTCGGCACAGTGTAGGAGGCAGTGCCACTACGCTGTTGCGGGGCGTGGGCATAGCGTTGCACGAAAGGCGGAAGCATCTTGGACGCTTGCTGGGCGCATCTCTGGGGCCTCCTGGGGACAGCTTGTGGCCGTGTCTAGGTTTTGTTGGCGGCCCATCGGGCGTCTTTGGACCGTCCCTGGGGCGTGAGTGTTCTGCCGAGAACCTCAGGAGCGGCTTTGCACATCCATGTGTTGGCCGTCTGGACGGGTCCTGGGGCCGTCTCCAAGCCCTTCGGTGCTGGTCTGTCTCGGGCATTCTTCGCAGCGGGTTGGGGCCTTCTGGGGCTGTCTTGGGGCCTTCCGACGCCGTCTCGAGGCCGTCATGGGCAGAGAGGCACCGGAAGCAGATGATGCTGAACGTGCTTTTGATCGGAGGCGAACTGGCTCCAGCAGGCGGTCGGCTAGCGACAGGCGCGTCGGAAGCGCACACTAGGCACACTTGTTCCGTCGGCGGCGAGGCAGAGCAGTCTGCACCGGCGCTGGAGCTGGACGGGGGCACCGAAAAGCGAATTGGCCAGCGTGCAGGAGCGGGACAAGGGCAGGGAAGGCGGCGGTGGAGGGGGGGAGAAGAGAAGGCCACTCAGAGGTGGAAGAGTTCTCGGCTGGTGCTGGCGCGGCCAGCCCCGCCAGCGGGCACCATGGCAGCTGCGGGGCCGCGACGCCCGGGCACTCACGGGCGATGCTTCGGGCAGTGGCGAAGCGCCCTGGCTTGTCTGTAGGCCCACCAAACAGTGTTCTAAGAACCTGTTGCGGTTTCAAGGAAATGTTCTTTGAACAATCCTGGCTGGGGCAGTCTTGTTTTAGCACATCGGGGTTATGTTCTGAGAACATTGCTTTTTTATGTGAAAAATTTGGGGGTTCTAAGAGAACATTTCGTGGTAGGCCTATAGAAATGACGGGACGGTCAATCCCCAGCGCACAGGCGAGGGGAGGCAGGGAGGGCAGGGGGAGGGGGGAGGACCGCGGATGGCCAGAGCGCCCTCAGCGCGTGAAGCGTGGCGGGCTGTGTCTACAGGCAGGCTAAAGTGTTTCTCCCCAAGCACCCTGTGGTGTTGGGTCCTCGTTCTGAAGAGGCAGCGCCCCGCGTCACTCCTTCCTTCCTCCCCCTCCTCGTCGCTCCTCCTCCTCCTCCTCCTCCTCCTCCTCCTCCTCCACCTCCCCCTCCTCCTCCTCCATCATCATCAGCATCCGCATCAGCATCAGCATCAGCATCAACATCAGCATCACCCACCCCCGCCCAGTAAAGCGTTTCGCGGCCCCAAAGGGAGCTCCACCGAAGGCCCCAGTGGCACCGCTCGCATGCGTCACCCCCGCCCAGTACAGCGACTCGTGGTTCCATAGGCAGCTCCACCGAAGGCCCCAGTGGCTGCACTCGCATGCGGTTCTCCCACCCAGTACAGCGTTTCATGGCCCCATAGGGAGCTCCACCGAAGGCTCCAGTGGCGGTGTTCGCAGGCGTTTCCCCCACCCAGTACAGCGTTTCATGGCCCCATGGGCAGCTCCACCGATGGCCTCAGTGGCGGTGGTCGTATGCTTTCTCCCTACCCAGCACAGCGCTTCGTGGCTCCATGGGAAGCTTCACTAAGGGCCCCAGTGGCTGTACTCGCATGCGTTTCCCCCACTCAGTACAGCGTTTCGTTGCCCCATAGGGAGCTCCATCGAAGGCCCCAGTGCCCGCTGCACATCGGCACACCCTTCGCATGCTTCATGGCCCCATGAGATGGTCCCCCGAAGGCGATACCTGCAACGACGGTACTCACAACTGCATATGGTTGGGTCCTTCGCCAGGATAATTCTCAGTGGCGTTGGGCTCCTTATAAGGGCCTGGCCAGAAGGCCCCTGGGGCGCCATTCTTGGGGGGCGCGTAATGGGGAGGCGGTAGATGGGGGGTGGCAGCGAGGGCTGCAGAAAGGAGCCCATTAGGGCCCCCTGGAGGGACCATTCACAGCCCCAAAGAGGGCCTCTATCTTCCCCCCCCATTAGTTCGCGCCCAACTTTCCAGGGCGTCGCGGGGCGTTTTGGAGCCCATTTGGAGCATCTCGGTGGCTTGTACCCGGACCGCCTTGTGTCTCGAAGCCGTCTGGGAACTCTCTCTGGACTGTATCGGGCGATCTTGAGGGTTGCGAAGCCTGAGATGCGCGAGCGACCTGGGGAGTGCCTTTGAGAACGACTTGCACCCTCACCAGGCAGCCAGTAGGCATTCTCAACGCCCCGAGCGTGCCGAGAGAACGGAGGTGCATACATACGCAAGTTCAGACGGGTATGCACGTTGTGTGCGTCTGCATACTGTCAGTACGGCCACAACCACGCTTGCTCTTGGTGTTTGCCCAGCAGCGTAAGTATCATCATGCAGCGCAGGTTGGCTGAGCCAACTCGCGTGAGCGACATGTGAGCCCTCATTGTGTACCCTTTCCAAGATGTTACTGGTGAGGATCTCATTGATGCCAAGCTCACCAGTTACCTCCAGAAGCACGGCAAGTACGTCAAGGCCAGGAGCGTTCGCGGCCCAGCGGTTGTATTCGTGCAGACGGTAGAGATCGTGTTCGCAACAAGGTTTGCATCGCGGACCTCTAAACTCCGCCCAGCTTGTATGATCGGCGTCGCCGACAGAGATTCAGTGCCTTTCCCCGTCCGTGCATCCTCCTCGTGCTCTGGCTGCTCCGGCTGCTCCTCCCACTCCTCCTCCTCCTCCTCCTCCTCCTCCTCCTCCTCCTCCTCCTCCTCCTCCTCCTCCTCATCCTCCTCATCCGTAGATCTCGTGGTGCGATGCTCGGCACGCGATGCCCAGCTTCGCATGATTGCTGATGTATATACTACCTACTACCTCCTCATCCTCCAAAGGCTACAGCATTGTACATTGACGCGCAAAGGCACGGCGCCACGCCTGGTGTCCCTTCGAATCGGGCGGCACATCCAGCGAGTCGACCGAGTTGAGGTATGTGCTGAACCGGGGGCGCCGCCAACTGCAGCACCTGCACTTCAAGCGCAAGCGCGCTCGGCTGGCACGTCGCCGAGGCCTTCGTCCGGGAGTTCTCCGGAAGTCTGGCGAGCGCGGGGGGCGTGGAGGCCAGTTCGGCGATCTGGCGCCCGCACGGGCTCTGCATGGTGTGCGTCCGCGCTGTCCTCAGCGGGCCAGGGCATCAGCCAGCAAGAGTCTGCAAGAGCACGTCTTGACCCACAGGGATGGGGCCGCGTGATGGGCGATGGTCCGAGCTCTCCGCCAGACCTCGGCCTCTCTGGCCTGCCGTCTCGGCCCGCTCCTCCTCGTCACGCTGCCCGCGAGGTGGGCGGCGACAGCGGCTGGGGCCTGGGTTCTAGAATCCGCGAGCAGGTCCAGAAACTCAAGAAGCAACAGGCATCCTTGGCGCTGCAGGCGCAGCGAGCATCCGTAAACGACCACACAACCATGGCCTGCGCACTCCGCACTCGGCTGCGCGCCGAGGGGGGAAAAGGCAGAGGGGGCCGCGCTGCGTCAGACGGCTCAGAGGGCCGCTGGCCTCCCGAGAAGCTTGCGAAGCCTTCTGCGAAGCCCCGCCGCCTTCGGCGAAGGCTTGCACCCCCGCCTTCCGAGGCCCCCCCGCCGCCATTCCCGCGGGCGCGCCGCCGAGCGAGAGCAGTCCCCTGGCCGTGCGGGCCCGCCTCGGCGGCGCAGAGCGCAGCGGGCCCGAGCGCCCACGCCTGGCCAGCACCGCGCCGGGGGGCGCGGAGGTCCCCGTGGAGCCCCCTGGGGGGTTGCCCTGCTCGCGCCGCTCGGCTCGCCGGCCTCGCGGCCCGTCCCTGCGCGAGCGAGGGGGGCGGGAGGGTCCCTCGCGGCAAGCGGCGAGGGCCGCGACGGCGCTCGGCGGTCGGCGGAGGCTCGCGAGCTGTCCACTGGAGTTCGCCGCCCGTGCGGCACCGTCCTCCCGCGAGCGGCGCCGGGCGCGGGGTGCCGCAGCCGTGAGCGGAGGCCCCTCCCAGAAGAGAACGGCAGCGCTGGCCACGTCTGCAGCGCCGCCACGGTGCATCGGACTGCGGCTCTCGATGGGTCGCGCCCGATCTGCCCCCTCCTCTCTTTGGTTACGGCCAAGCCCCGCTTCCCGCCTCCTAGCTCCTCGCCCGCGTCCTCATCCATGCTTCGCACTCGACTACGCCACGGGACCGCACTGGCCGCCTCGATATTTCAGCGTATGTTTCGGAAGGCCCCCGCAGCCATGAGCTAGCACGTTCGATACCAGAGCCCCTTCCCCGTTTCTCCTCTTCTACAACATCCTCTCTGCAGCGTCCCCCTTTCTTCTCCCTCCTCATCCCGTGCCACCCCTACGGTACATCGACAAAATGTTGCACCACCTGGCGCTGACAATAAGTCGCATCGTTGTTATATCAATCGTGTGTTCCCCCCCCTCCCTCCCGATCTTAATATTGGGTTCGGACCCGGGCTGGTCGAAACAGCTCGGTGGTGCAACATTTTGTCGGGAGCCCCCGGGCGGAACAGGGGCTATTCGCCATGCACCCAATATTGAGATCGGGGGGAAAGGGGGGGCAAGAGCAATGCAGTACAGGTGCCAATGCCCAGCAAACGTGGTGCAACATTTTGTCGATGTACGGTACCCTCCCCCATGCTTCCCTCCACACTCCCCCTCGCATCCCCTCACCATCCCGTTCCATCCCGTTTTACTCTCCCGGCGTTGTGTTCCCATCGCTCTTGTTTCAGGCAGCCACCTCGCGAGAATTCCGCAGGCCCGCATTGCACATCACCCTTGCCACTTGCACGTGTGCGCGTGGGCGGTGGACATCTGTTCGGTGGTTGCTTGTGTTCCCCCGCAGCGGGCGTGTGAAGCTCTCGTGGGGCAGAAGCAGTCGCTCTGTAGATCGAGCGCCAAGCTCAACGGAGCATGTTCCCGCCCGAGTTTCGCCATCGAAGCCCGAAATCTCTTTTAGGCAAATCAGAGCAAAACACATCGTGAGTTGTCTGGACTTTGGGGGTCTCTTGGAAGCTTCTGGGGGCTGGTAGTCCTGGAGGCCTCCGAGGAGCTCAGTGAGGCCTCTTGGGTGGGGGTCCTGCACAGGTTTGGGTCACAGTTGGGTAGTATTTGGGCTGGCGTGAGCCTATCGTTGGGGTACACTGAGGCGTATCGTCAATAGCTCCCCGCTCGTGGGCCCTCTTGGGGTCCTCGTGAGGCCCTCTTGTGGGATCTGGGGCCCCCCTTAGGACCATGTTCGACATTGTTGGAGCGCTCTGAGGGCAACCTCGGGGCTTGAGACGCTCATTGGAGCCCGCAAGGGCGAGAACGCCGTAATCATCACATGCAGAACGGTTGTCAAGCATGGCTTATTGGGTGTTTCCGAGCGGAGGTTATTGGGCCATATCGTGAGCCACAGTTGCAGTCGATTGGGTTGTCTTGGGTGCCATGAGACCCGTTGGGCCAACTGTAGGGGTCAAACGATGGCTTGACGCCAATGGGCCCGCGCTCTTGGACCGCCTTGGTGGCCTACTGGGCTCGCTGGTGCTCTTTTGGGGGCCGCTTGCGGAGTGTTCGGGCCCTCCAGGGACTCTGTTGGAGCCAACGTGGAGCCACCTCGGGGAACGAGGAGCCCATTGTAGCTCGCAAGGGCGATAATTCCAAAAACAGCCAGCAGAAGAAGACATCAAAACGCACACACACACACACACTGCTCTGTGGTAGTGGCTTTCCTCGGGGCCCCTGAGGGGCGCAGACTCGGTCATCTTGAGTTGCCACCTCAGTTAAGTGGGCCGCCTTGGGCTATCTTGAGCCACCTTGGGACCACCATCCCACCATCGTAGGAGGAGGGGGAGGGGGAGGGAGAGGGGGAGGGAGAGGGGGAGGGGGGGGAGGGGGAGGAGGAGGAAACTAAAAAGGAGTTGTGGCGTCTTGGGACCATCCACTGGGCACCTGAAGGCCTGGCCCCGTTCGGCCTGCGCCCTTGGACTGGCCTTGGAACCCCTATGGGGCTCTCATTGAGTCTACTGCGGCCCTCTTGGAGGGACTTGGTGCTCTCTTGGGGCTTGAGACGAATCTAAAGAACTCTCAAGCTGTGACTGCGCTGTTTTCTGCTCTGTCTGGCTCTAGAATATGTCGGGCGGCTTCTAGGCTCGAGCCTCGGCGGCTTGAGCCAAACTGCCCCTCTTGGAGGAATGCGTTGCTCTCTCAGGGCCTTCTTGGGGTCATCTCGGAGCCCGAGAAGAAAGCGACACGTCCCCCACAAGAAGAAGGAAACACAAAAGCAGGGATGAGCTTCATAAAGTATGTGTGGCTGCCTTGTGGCATCCGAGGGGAGGTTTTTTTGGTCATCTGGGGCCGCCTGGAAGTTCGTGAGGGTAGCTTGGACTATACTGGGCCATCTTGAGGACATCTTGGGGCCAGCATCAAGCCTGACACCCATTGAGGGGCGTTCTCGGGGACCTTTCGCCCGCCATTTGGAGCATTCGGCCGCAGTTGTTTCCACTGACCTCCCAGGTGCGCCCTCGCACGAGGACTAGATACATGAATACTTATCAGTCCACTCATTATAGCTGTCTTCTCGAAGGATCTAGCACGCAGTTGGCCCGCTGCGCCAGCAAATTGTACATGGCGTGCCGTCGTTTGTTCTTTCCGCGCTTGCACTAGCGTTGAGGTCGGCATGATCGGACTATCGAGGTGCCTGCGGCAAGTTCCGTCGCCACGCCACCGCTCTGTTCCGTGTGGTGATATGTCAAGAAGCGCCCAGCATACCATTTCTTCGGCGCGATATCCCGCGAGCTCGCGAAGCCGGTCCAAGTCGAGGTTGTACTCCTTTGAGAGATCCGTTACACGTGACATTTGCTGCAACAGCATGTATCAGGTCGTTTCCCGCGTCGCCCAAACAAAGTACATGGAGGAGGAGGAGGAGGAGGAGGAGGAGGAGGAGGAGGAAGAAGAGGACAAGCAAGATGAGAATATGGGGACGAAGGAGAGGGGACGTCTTTTGCATTGGCCTTCTGGGAGGTTTGGGGATCCTGCTTGAGCGTCCCGGGGGGGCGCGCTGAGCGCCTCTGGTAAGGATGTCGTGGGAGGGGGGGCCTCTCGGGGCGCTCTGGGGAGCTTCCTGGGAGGGTTTGGGGCCGCCTTTGAGCGCTTTGGCGTCCTGGGTCCTCGCTTGGCCGTTTCTCGGCAGCTCCTGGGCAGTCCTGCACCCCAGCAGGAGAGGCTCTTCGGCCCCCCCCAGAGCCCTCGCTGGCCGTCCTGAGCAGCCCTTGGGCGACTCTGGCGCCGTTTGGGAGCATCCTTCAGCACTCCAGAAGCATCCTTGAGCACTCCTTGAGCATCCTTGGAGCACTCCTTGGGCATCCTTGGGCATCTTGGGCCGAAAAGCCTGAGAAGCCCAGGGGCAACTCATGCGGGTTGGGTGGTTTGGGCTGCCTGGGCCCTCTGCGGGAACCTTCGAGGTAGCTTGAGGCCCTTTGGGAGCTGGCTGGAGCTCTGTGGGGTCGCTGTGCGGCGTTACGGCGCTCGGTCCTTCTGGAGGCCCTCGCGAGCCCTCTTGGGATCCTCTTGGGCCGTCGTGGAAACGTCTTGGACCATCCTGGGGCGGGCGGCTGATCCAGAGGCCATCATGGGCCGAAAGGCTGCGAAACGAAAGCTTTGAACAGTCTGACGTTGTCCGAGTCTTGCGGGTGCATCGCCGCGTGTTGGGAGCGTGGTGGAGCGCACCAGGTCGGGCGCCCGCGTGGCCCTCTTGAGCCGTGTTGGGACGTTCTGGCGTTCTCGGGTGACCCTCCTGGGTTGCTTGGGTTGCTTCTTGGGCCGTCTGGGGTCCCTCAGTGCCGTCGTGGAGACGTATTGGGCAGTTTTGCTTCACCGTTTGATCCTCCCGATGCCTTCGTGAGCCGACAAGCGTGGGCAGCAAGCGCAAATGGGAACACAAACGTTGCTGTTGAGTGTTGTGTCCTTGCTCGGCGATTTGGGGTGTACGGGCCTTCTCCTGGGCCCTATAGTGGTTCCTTTTGGGGCCGGTTGGGGCCTCTTGAATCGCTTTTGCATGTCAGAAGCATCAGTGGGCCGTCTTGAAAACCATGCATTCGGACGCAAATCCTGGGAGGTCAAATTCTGATTTTGCCCTGGTCCGAAATCCGGCTTAATCCCGCTTCATCCCACTTGATCCCGCTCAATCCGGCTTCATCCGAGGCCCACTCCGGCGTAACAGCCCCCCAAGGGGACTTAATCCTCTCTCATCTTTCCGAGGAAAACCTCCCAGTAGTTCCCTCCGGACATGCTGGCGCCTTGCTTCAGGAGGGGAAAAAACACACCGACACAATTAACCGTCGATTCCCAGGAAATCATGGGAAAATATGAGAAGTGGGGGCAAAGACAAAAACCCAGAAAATATGGGAGAATCTGGGGAATCCTTGTATTTGTGTGCATTTATTTGCGTGTCCCAGGGCCCCTTCACAGTAGTTGCCTCCTGGCATGCTGGCGCCATGTTTTGAGGGCCCCAGAGACCGCCAGGGGGGCGGGCCTCCCAGGGAGTCTCGGGAGCGGGGGGGGGGCCGACGTGCGCAGTGGACTGCTGTAGTGGGCGGCGTCAAGAACATGGAGACCAGGCCGCACTCGTCGGCGGCGAGCGAGGGGGGGGGATCGAGAAGGAGAGGGCCTTCTCGGAGGGCGGCGGGACTTCTCGGAAGGCCTCCGGCCTGCTGAGAAGTCTTTGCTGTCCTCGGGGGAGGCTTGGAAAACTTCTCAGAAGCCCCGGGAACTTCCGAGCCTTCTGAGAAGGCCGTCTCCTTCTCACTTCCCCCCTGGGCGCGCCGCCTATAGTGGTCGGGCGTCAAGAAAATGCAGACACCCTACCAGACAGCACTTGCCATTCCACCTCGCCTCAACGTGCCAGGGGGGCGCGGTGGCGGATACTTGGTCTGCTTCGTGAAGGAGTCCATTGCTCCGCATGTGAGTCAGGCTCGCGGCAAGCGAAGCAGCGAGGATGATAAACAGGGGGGAGGAGCATGAACAGCAGGAGGAGAAGGCCAAGGTGCAGGAGTAAGATAAGCAATACGGTCATTGTGAGACGAAAGAGACGTACGCAACTGGAGTCAAAACGGGAGGACACAGAGGGCACGACCAGGATTTTGCAATCAGACAGAACAGCGGAGAGCTTCTCCGGGCAATGGGGCGAGGGGGATGACGGAGGTAGGCAGAATCAGAGCACAAGGAATCGCGCACGACGACAGAAGAGGCGAGGGGAGGACACGACTAGACCTAATCAAATGGTGCGCAGGTAGCAGCGACCAGTGGTTGGAAGCAACGGGATAGTTCAAGATGGGTGCTCGAAGCCAGAGCCGTCCCACAGGCGCCAGAAACAGGGGGGGCACGGGAGGATAAATCAGAGCAAGAGCGAGGCCGAGACAGAGACGGAGATGGAGATATACATAAACATAGAGACGGACACATGCAGGCAGAGACAGACAGACAGGCAGGCAGGAATGCTGGCATAATTTGCACTCAATATATATATATATATATATATATATATATATATATAGCGAGAGAGAGAGAGGGAGAGAGAGAGAGAGGGAGAGTGGCGAGGATTGAGGTAGGGGCACTGTCACCCACGGAGGCCGACGCAGGCATAATTACAGACACAGGTTGAGGCCCACCAGCCACTACCTCAGGCACGGCCAGTGGCTAGAAGCCGAGCAACGCGCGTCGCTGTGAAAACTGGCTCAGCTCGCGGGGGACACCCCAGGGCTCCTCCTCCTCCTCCTCCTCCTCTCCCTCCTCCTCCGCCCCCTCCTCCTCCTCCTCCTCCTCCTCCTCCTCCTCCTCCTCCTCCTTCTGGACGAGACGGCGCTCGACCTCAAAGGCTCGAGGCTCGGTGGCTTGGTCCTCGGGGAGGAGTGGCCGTCACGCTGGAAAGGCTCCGGGTCGGCCACCAGCCACCATGCCGTGAAATTGGGGTCTGAGGGGAGGATGACGATGATGATGATGATGATGATGATGATGATGATGATGATGATGATGATGATGATGATGATGATGATGATGATGATGATGATGATGATGATGATGATGATGAGGAGGATGAGGATGAGGAGAGGAGGAGGGAGGAGGAGGAGGAGGAGGAGAGAGGAGGAGGGGGGGGAGGAGGAGGGGGAGGAGGGGAGGAGGAGGAGGAGGAGGAGGAGGAGGAGGAGGGGGAGGGGGAGGGGGAGGAGGAGGAGGAGGAGGAGGAGGAGGAGGAGGAGGAGGAGGGGGAGGAGGAGGAGGAGGAGGGAGGAGGAGGAGGAGGAGGAGGAGGAGGAGGAGGAGGAGGAGGAGGAGGAGGAGGAGGCGGAGGAGGAGGAGGTGGAGGTAGGAGGAGGAGGAGGAGGAGGAGGAGGAGGAGGAAGGAGGAGGAGGGGAGGAGGTAGGAGGAGGAGGAGGGAGGAGGAGGAGGGAGGAGGAGAGGAGTAGGAGGAGGGGGAGGGGGAGGGGGAGGAGGGAGGAGGAGGAGGAGGAGGCAGGAGGAGGAGGAGGAGGAGGAGGAGGAGGAGGAGGAGGAGGGAGGAGGAGGAGGAGGAGGAGGGGAGGAGGAGGAGGAGGAGGAGGAGGAGGAGGAGGAGGAGGGGGAGGAGGAGGAGGAGGAGGAGGAGGAGGAGGAGGAGGAGGAGGAGGAGGAAATGCGGCAGGTTCGTGCCGTGTCGACGCGACGGCGACCCCGCTGCTGGTGTTCCAGGTTGAGCACCGTCAGTGGCCCAGGGCTGGCTACATATTGGGCGACCTTGGGAGCTCTAACGCCTCGCGCCCCCCTCCCCGCCCCGTGTCCAGGAGAGGGGGCAGGGGGAGGGGTAACCCCTCCCCCCGAGCAGGGGAAGGAGGGAGATTGGCACAGAGAAAACAGCAACACTTGTTAAGCCACCTACGCCCAGAGGGCTGGTGGGAACTACTTCCAAAGCCTTCCTACTTCATGTTTCGACCCACTTCTTCCGACCGACGGGTACACGCAAGAGTGACCCTTCGCGGAGCCCCCCCGATCGCTGAGCGCGATGCGATACCGGCCGCTTACGCGCTTGAATTTGGCAGCTCTGCGCCACTTTGTTCCGCGCACCACACGTCTGGGGAGACAAACAAGGTACCGATACCGCTACCCCCAGACCTCTCCCCAGGTGTTCTCTGACCAGGATTTCGAGGCGAATCCAGCGGTGGCGACAAGGGCCTCCCAGGAGGCCCCCAAAAAGGAAAAACGGCGCGAGGGTAGCGGTATGGGTACCTCTGCCTCCTCTGAAGGTCACTCTTGCCCAGGGTCACTCTTGCGCGTGGCCGACCAGGGCCAGCGAGGGACGCTGGGCCAGCGAGGGACGCCGGCGAGGTCTGGGCTGGCGGCTCAGCCCCGGAAGGGCCGGCGCGGGTGCGGCTGGGCGCCGCTCGCACAGCCGGAGGCGGCCACGCGCCGGGGTGGCCTTTCGCTTGGCACCGCTCGGACGCGTGCATCGCGTGGCCTTTCGCTTGGCACCGCTTTCTTCCGCGGCGAGGGCCACCAAGGAGCAGCTCGGCGCGGCGTGCGACAGAATCCGCACACGGAGCCGAAGCATGCACCGGGGGTGGGCGCCCGAGCGATGCTGTGGCGCGGGCACGCCGGGGTTCCCGGGTGGCCGTCCACGGATCGCGCGCGCCCGCTCTGCGCGCGCCCGCGGCGGCCGCCGCGCTCCGCCACGGCCCTTGCCCGAGCGAGCCGAACCAGAAAGCCCGCTCGTGGGCTGCATCCCCTCGGCGGCGAGCGGGGGGGGGGAAGCGAGAGAAGGGGCGCTTGGCATCGCTCGGACGTGTGCATATTTTCCTTCGGCGAGGACCATCGAGGAGCATCCTTGATCATTTCGCGAAAAAACCACGCACGAAACCGAAAAAAACACAGGAAATGGACGTCCGAGCGATGGCCAGGGCGGGCCTTCGCGGGAGGCTGCTCAGGACGCTGGGGTCCCCAGATGGCCGAGTGCGATGCGGCAGCAGCGGCCTCCGCGCTCGGGCCAGGGCCCCCCCCTCGCGAGGCCCCCCCGAGGGCCACGCACCAAGGGCCGCTCCTGCCTGGGGTCACCCTTTTCGTGTGGCCGACGGAGGACGTGGGTGGGCAGGGCCCAGAATTCTCGGCGGCGAGCCCAGGGGGGGTGAGAAGTGAGAAGGAGAAGGCAATCTCGGGAGGCTCGGAAGTCCCTGGGCCTTCTGAGGAGTTGCCGAAGCCTTCCCCCGAAGACGCGGAGATCGTCTCAGAGGGCGCGAGGGTTTCGGAGAAGTCCCGCCGCCTTCTGAGAAGGCCTCCTCCTTCTCACTTCCCCCCTCACTCGCCGCAGAACTTCGAAGAAGAGGAACATTGCGTTAACAAATACTTTCGGAGCTCATCGCGGATTTCATGGGTCTGCGCTGGAACCACCTGGCGGCGCCTCTGGCGCCGCCCCTGGAGCGCTCCGCCCCCCAGGGCGGGGGGGGGGTCAGCGCAGATCCACGAAGTCCGCGCGGAGCTCCAAAGATTTCTGCTCATATTCCACGCTCTCGGCTCCCGAGAACGCCGACGTCGCGATTCGTGCAGCCTGGTCCCCTGGAGGCCTCTGGGACCTCCTTTCCCCGGGACGAGCGTTCCACCCCGAGTCGTTTTTCTTTTTGCGATTCGTGCAGCCTGGTCCCCTGGAGGCCTCTGGACCCCCTTTCCCCGGGACGAGCTTTCCACCCCGAGTCGTTTTTCTTTTTGCGATTCGTGCAGCCTGGTCCCCTGGAGGCCTCTGGGCCCCCTTTCCCCGGGACGAGCGTTCCCCCCCGGATCGTTTTCCCTGACGGCCCCCGGGCCCACGGAGGGCCTTTCTTGGGGGGGCCGAAGGCTGCCCAGAGCCAGTCGTCCTGCCTCTTCCTTCTCGGCGAGGGGAGGGCCGGGGAAAAAAAAACCTGAAGAAAGGAACGCAAGGGAGAAGTCCTGAGGAGGAGGAGGAGGAGGAGGAGGCGGAGGAGGAGGAGGAGGAGGAGGAGGATTTTTAAACATCGACAGACTGCCAAGCCATGCGCTCTGGGAGGAAGGCGCCTCCTCCCAGCCGCCAGCGGCGGACGAGGGGGCGGCCGAAGAGTCACGGAGGGCGGCCGTGGGCGAGGTCGACGCGGACCGCGTGAAGGGGCACGGCGAGGGGATGGTCGGCAAGAAGGGGGCCGTGGCGGTCAGGCCCCCTGCGCTGCTCGGCCGGAGCTGGAGCAGTGGCGGGGCGTCCCGGCTTGCCCACGGGCCCGCCAGAGAAGGTTCGAAGCGCCTCTTGTGGTCTGCACGACATGTTCGTGGATCGCTTCTGGCTGAGACTGTCTTGTCTTGACGCATCGGCTTCATGTCATGAGAACATCCCTGTTGTGATCGAAGCATTGTTGGAGTTCCAAGAACATGTCGTGGCAGGCCTCCTGGAATGCCGGGACGGTCGGTCCCTGCTCGAGAAGTGCCCCGCCCCCTCGGCCTCGGGCCAGGCCAAGGGGGGTCACCACCGGGGGGGGGGGGTCGCCGGCCCCCCCTCCCGAGGAGCGAGGCTCGAGGAGCAGGCGCCGCGAGGAGCTCGCACAGCTCTGGGCGGCTCGCGAGGTTCCTGGGGGGGCTCGGGGGCTCCTGAGGGGTCTCGTCCTCCTCGAGACCCCCCCCAGTGGTGACCCCCCGCGGCGCCGCCCGGCCGCCCTGCGCCCCAGCTCTCCTCGAGGCCTCCTCCTCCTCCTCCTCCTCCTCCTCCTCCTCCTCCTCCTCCTCCTCCTCCTCACCCTGGCATCTGTGAGCAGGACAGGCGGCTGAGCCGTGTTCGGCCACCGCGGGCTCTCGCTGGGCCCCTCGGGCCATCAGCAGAAAAAACGCCCGGGCTGGGACGCCACTCCCGCGGCAGGGGCTCAGACCTCGGGGGGCCCACGCTGTGAAAAAAGTCACGACGTCGGAGTTCGGGGCAGTGGGAACGCAGGGCGGAGGGAATTGCTGCTCGTCAGGGGCAGTTCAGGGCAAGAGAAGCCCTCCCCACCCTTCACGGCCATGCCGGCCGGCCTGCTCCCCCATGGGTCGGGGTGGGCGCCGTCTCCTTCGGTCTTCGCGGCGACCCTCCTCACCCAGAAGGGGATGTGCTGGGAGAGCGAACCTGGCGTGTCCCAGTGGAGGTGAGGACGGTTCTGACCGTAGACACGCTAGGGGCGATGTTGGTTTCCGTCGTGTTGTGGGTGGGGACGGTGCGTGTCCAACCCAATTGTAGGAGAGCATTGTTCGCGTTCGCCTGCAATCCGTTCTGCGGGAGTTCGGCGTCGCAGCAAAACAGATTCCCGACATCGCCGTGGATCAACACCGCCGTTACCATGGCCTCGGTCTGAGGATGATGAACAACGACTGGGGGGACTGGCACGCGGGGGGGGGGATCCGTCCCTAATCGCCCATTCATCGCAGATGGGGGCCTGGGGACGACGATAACGATAACAACGGCAACAACGATCACAACGATCGACCAAGCTTAGCCAGCGAGTTCACACCGAGGGTCGGCCAAGTCCTCGGCGAGCCTTTTTTCCATCCCGTGTCACGTTCTCTCACTTGGTACAACAGGAGGAACGCATTGATCGTTGTCACACTGGGGGCCCATGCCAAGAAACACCCTGCTTGCCTCCAGGATGCCCTGGGTTTCTCTAGTTTCGGGGGTTTTGCGATGAAAGGCGTGGCGTTCCCACACCAGAAACCAATGGACGTCCTGGGATCTCGGAGGTGGGTTTCTTGCGGGAGGTTACTTGTGGTCGGGCCTCCGCTGTTAACGTTGTCATCGTTGTTATCGTCGTCGGGGGGGGCCAACCTGCCCAGGCGCGGGGGGGGTCCGCATCCAGGACCTGTCGCCAACCCATTGGTGATGCATCGCCGCTTCCAAGTCAGCACAGTGAAACGCAGCACGTAACCCCGAAAAGTACTTAAGACCCCCCCCCCGGGCCCCTTCTGGTGAAACGATGACGCTTCCGGCACCCTGGAAGCGTTACCTCGGCACCAGGAGGGCCTCCAGAGGGCACTCGGGGCCTTGCAGAGCTCTGATGAGCACTGCTGGGCCCTGCTAAGGTCTACTAAGCACCGACCGACGCAGCGGTAGGACACGCTGACAGATCCTTGACATTCCCTGCGAATTCCCTTCTTGGCCCCATCGAGGCCGCCAGCGATTGAGATTTTGTTTTGTTGTTTGCGCGCGGTGCTAAAGATGTCACTCCGCGAAAAAATGCCCCGGTGGAATATTGATTAAGACTGCGGTGCTACAATAACCCCGGGGGGGTCTTAAATACTTCTCGAGATTACCATGTGCAAAACGTCCGCGTTAACACGCTCTTGGCATCGCTCGGACGTGTGCATTTTTTCTCGGCGAGGGCCATCGAGGAGCATCATTCATAATTTGGCGAAAGAACCACGCACGAAACCGAAAAAAACACAGGGAATGGACGTCCGAGCGATGGCCAGCGCGGCGTGTGGGCTGACCCCTATCAGGAAACCGTGGCTATTGCCCCATGCCTCCTCTCTGTGAGGAGGAGGAGGAGGAGGAGGAGGAGGAGGAGGAGGAGGAGGAAGAGGAGGAGGAGGGAGGAGGGAGGAGGGAGGAGGAGGGGGAGGAGGAAGAGGGAGGAAGAGGAGGAGGAAGAGGAGGAAGAGGAGGAGTGCCTCCTCTCTTTGTGAATATTCAGACAGCGGTTTGGGGCAGCTCTCGGTTTCCAGGAGCCCCCTACCGGACCCCAGGGCGTTCGGAAGACCACTCGGGGTGAAAAGGCCGTCGGGGAGAAGGGTTCCAGATTTCCTGGGGTCCCCTCCGTGAGAAAGCAGCATAAAAAAACACAGTGTCGGACTTATGGGACAGTCCAAGACCAGCGCCCGTCGCTCGCTGAACGTAGGGATCTAGGGAATTCGCAGAACAGAATATGTTCGAATCGCCTGCTTGATTCAAGAATCAGACGGCCATCCTGTTGTGTTCCTGCCAACTCAGAGGCATGCGGCAACCCACTCCAGTTTCAACGCCGTCCTGCTTCATATGTGTACGCTCATATCCCGAACGACAGGCAGTTAGTTTATTGGGGAAGAGCCCCTGGCACTTAAGACGTGCTGCGACAAAGGAGCAGCCTCATCAACCGCTTCCCGCGGACAGTTTCCACGAGGAGCACCCATGGCTTCAATAGATGCATTGTACGGTCTGGCCCACCACTGGATACGATGACCAAAGGGCTAACCACGATCTTGCGTGTTGCGAATGCGCGTCTCGCCCACTCGTTGCCCTGGTCGCCGTCGTGAGCGCCTGCTTGGCCCTGGCCTCATGCCTCCCCCACGGACTTCGATTTCTTCTGCTGCACCTCGGCACGCATGCGAAAGTTTACATGATCTGAGAGCGGCTCCCTCCCGGGCCCTCCCCCCCGCTCCCCGCGCGTACATCCCCCTGCCCCCCGTTCCCCAGTTCGCTTCGGTTGCATTCCGCCGTCGTCCGCACGCTGCTTGACTCCTCCCGGCCGCCGGCCAGAAAGTTGCGAACACGTCATTCCGTTGCACTTCAGCAGGCTCCCTTACCGGGGCAGGTTCAGCGCCCGCTGTTGGACCCAGGTCTCGCCGACCATCAACTTGCGGACGATTTTTGGCCAGATGCAGCGCGCAAGCGATAAGGGAGGCGGGCATGTCATCTACAGCTAACTTCGGGGGGCTCCAGCTGACCATCTCACCGATCCTGGACAGGCCCGTTCTGGGCCGATGGGGTCGGCGTCGACCCCTCCTTTGGCCAGGCCAGAAAGGCCTGGACGCCGATCCCTGGGCAGTCATAGCGGGCACGTTGCTTCACAGGACGGGTTCGTACAAGTATCCGCCGATGTTCGCTCGGTTCTCCTCGGTCTGGGCTCCCTTGAGGGCATCGTCGGCGGCTCTGGCGGTGTCTCTGTTCACATCACTTGGAGACCGCGGACCGCAGGTTTATGACTATGGTGCGCAGGCAGCAGAGATGTGCACAGCTGCCCTGCAAAACATTTTCCACTCACAGCGAATCGTTCGAATATCTGGCCAGTCATTCTTCGTTTGACTAGGTTGATTGTTTGTAGATAGCCAAGAGTATCTCCGAGGATGAAGCCTCGGTGTGAAGAGGGCCCCCATGCCCCCCCCAGCAGTTACAAGTGTGCGAGGGGTACTCTACCACACTTGTTCCTTGCATGGTGGACCACAGGTGCGGGGGGGGCCTCGGCGGGCTGCAACGAGTAAACAAGAATTCAAGAACGTCACTTTTCGAGGGGGCTGATCCCCGTGCTAGAAACGGACGCGCGCCGAGCAGCGCGCCGAGCAGCTCCCCGCCTAGCCAGGTTTGAAGTCGCGGGCCGCCCCATGTGCTTCGTGAACATGCACCTGCCTTCTGGAAGGGGGGGGAGGGCTGCCTCGAATTTCTCCAGGAGAGCGAAGAGCTGCAGCAGCCCAGACTCGGACTGCCCGGTGCAGATCGAATGGCAGCGTTCTGGGCTCACGTGCTTCGCTCGCGATCCCCTCGCGCCCGACACCGGAGACACCGCGCCGCCCGGGCCACCCCCACCGAGGCCGCGAAGACGCTGCCGCGCTGCGCGCCTCGTGGCCTGGGCCGAGCAGCTGCCCTCCTCAAAAGGTGGCCCCGCGGGTGCGCGAGGACCATCGCGCACCCGCGGGGCGCGGAGGAGGAGGAGGGAGGAGGAGGAGGAGGAGGAGGAGGAGGAGGAGGAGGAGGAGAGGAGGAGGAGGAGGAGGAGAGGAGGAGGAGAGGAGGAGAGGAGGAGAGGGAGGAGGAGGAGGAGGAGGAGGAGGAGGAGGAGGAGGAGGAGGGAGGAGGAGGGAGGAGAGGAGGAGGAGGAGGAGGAGGAGGAGGAGGAGGAGGGGAGGAGGAGGAGAGGAGGAGGGAGGGAGGAGGAGGAGGAGGAGGAGGAGGAGGAGGTCGGGCGGCCCAGGCCGGGAAAGGGCCGCGGGCTGCTGGGCCGAGTCGCCATGCATGCCGCCCCCGGCTGGGAGAGAGGCCCGCCGTCCCCCGCCCGGCCCGACGCGCGGCGGGAGCCGCGGCCGGGCAGCCGGCTGCGCACGAGAGGGGCCCTTCGCTGGAGTGGCCTCGGGCGCGGGCGCTCGGGCTTTGCGTAATGGGGCGAAGAGGACTATGCACATGCACTGATCCTGGCAAGGCCCATATCCTTGACCCAGGATCGGTGCACATGCCTTCCTGGCCAAGGTAGGGGGGCGTATGCACCGATCATGGGCTCAGGATGGGTCTGGCCAGAGTCGGTGCATGTGCATAGTTCTCTCTCCTCTAGCGTAATGGGGGGGGGGCGATCAATGAAGGGGGGGGAAAGGTGCACATCTTGTGCACTGCGGTAAGAGCTCGACCACAAGAGACCTTCCGCATGAGACCCAGCCCCCTCTGAGACCCCAGGAGGTCCACGGATCCTCGGTGTGGGATCGCCTCCCACAGCAGAACCATCGAAACCCCAGAAACCCAGGGCACCCTGGAGGCGAGCAGGGTGTTTTGTTGGCATGGGCTGCCATTGTAAAGGGCCCCCCTGAGGGGCCCTTCAGAGGGCCCTTCAATGGGGCCCTCTGGGGTCCCAGAGAGGGGCACGAGACGTGCACGCTGCCTTGCCCCCCCATTATCCTCCCCCTCCTGCTCCTCCTCCCCCTCCTCCTCCCCCTCCTCCTCCCCATCGTCCTCCTCCTCCTCCTCCTCCTCCTCCTCCTCCTCCTCCTCCTCCTCCTCCTCCTCCTCCTCCTCCTCCTCCTCCTCGTGCCCTTTCGTGCCGGAGCCTGCGGGCCGGCATCCCGCGGCCACTTTTTGTTCGGGGGGGGGGGGGCGGCAGAGAACGCGGGCGCGCGCGACGGGCCAGGGAGACAGGGGACGTGGCGGGCACGGCGACTCCCGCACGCAGCGGTCGTGCCGACGCTGGTCCCGGAGGGGGCCGAGCGGGACCACAGTTCTCGCGTTTCTCAGCTCGGACGCTCGGTGCTGGACGCCTCTGGACGCCAGGCTGTGCCCAGGACCGGTCAGGAACGAGAGCGGTTGGCAACGAGCACGGTGCGGGGCGAGGCGTGCGTAGCCCCGTGGTGGGATCCCCGCAGACACACGAGCAGGCAGGCTTAGGACGAGGACGAAGCTATGGAACGGCCGTGGCGCCCGATACATCCTCCAGACCCGCCAGCTTTGGATCAATCCCGATTGATCCTCATTCACATTCGTCCTTATCCTGGTTTTGTCTTCCGGTGTGGGGGGAGGTGAAGGTAGCGTCGTCGGCCCTCTTACTGCACGCCATTCCCCACCTTGGGGACAGCGTGCACCGAAGAAGCCCTGGCAGGGGGATAGCACGCACAGAAGGCGCCCTCGCGGGGGGATCGGCTCACAGGGATAGCGTGCTCTTCGGAGATCGATGTTGCGCTAGATGCTTCCAAATTTCCCCATGCCAGCCGTTTTCAACTTTCCAGAGTCCACTTGCGTCCGTGGTGAGGAGGAAACCGCTTCGGCGACTTCGGGCCCCTCGCACCTTCCAAGTGCCACCGCGCCCAACCGCGGCCCCCTGTCGTGCGCATTGCCTCTTCTGGCGCTTCCCCCACCCCCTCTGCTGATCGTCTCCCCTCTGCTCGTCGTTGTCCTCCCGCATCCCTCCTCCCCCGCCTCCTCCACCTCGCCGTGCTGCTCATGCTCTGCTCGGCAGTGTGCATTTTTCTCCGCGAGGACCATCGAGGAGCATGCTGGATCCTCGAGCAAAACAACGCACGAAATCGAAAAATGCACGGGGAATGGACGTCCGAGCGATGGCGAGTCTGTGTCACTATATGCCCATCGCCCTTACAGACAGCTCCGCACTGCCGCACCACCAGACGTGTCCGCAGGGCGGTATGAGCGTTTCGTGTGATGTGTCCACGCAGTTCCTGGTCCCAGAAATTGGAAGTGCTCACAGTCGCATGGATGGTGGATGGGCAGCGTTGGTCCTCACAACCAGCGTCTCGCCTCAGATGATTCACACGCCGTGTCGTTGCAACTTCAATCTTACAACGTTTACACAGAAGGCGGGCGGGACAATTTCAAGGTGTAGTTCTCGTGCGCTACCCCCTTCAGATATATCATCCCAGGTTTCCATACTGCAAGTAGGCACACATATGAAGGACAGGTCGTTTTCAGAATCTGCTTTTGGCAAGGGGTTGCCGAGTATTGCGATCAACAAGTGGGGGATGTCGAACAGCCACGCCACTAGGGTAAAGGTCATTTTCGAAGTCCAGATCTCATTGGGTACGCCTTCATATTCTGCCACACTGGAGTTTCAAAGTCTAGCAGTTACATGGATGGAGCGTAGTTCGTTTACAAAGTGGTGGTTGCTCCTCGGGACTTCTGCAACCAGGTAGCAGTAAAGCTTGAGATGTCTAACGTTGCACCGATTCCCAATGTTGATTATGGTCAAAAATTATACGCATCGGCATTCCGACCGTTTAATGATAAAGTGAGGTGCAATCACCTTACAGTGGCGGAGGCAGCATCCCGTCAAGAGCGATGAAAACTTGTATGCTCTTGCGCAGGGAATTCAAAGTACCCTCTGGAACATATGATATTCCAGAATCGGATGAGAGATCCCGGATTCTGAATTCCCCGATATTTGATCCGGTTCTTATTGAGTCGGCCCGTTCGGATCCTACGGGGGAAGGGGGGTCCAGCTCGGTGCGGTCGGAATAGGGGTCAGCGTCCGCCCGCCCGTTTACGCGGAAGCAACGGACAGAGTTCATGTCTTCACGCTCTCATGCAACGTCGCGAACTATTGCAACGGCATCGTATTTGTGTATCACAGCATCACGGATGTAGGGCGGCTGTGTTCGAATTCGAGTTATTGTTTGAAATGTTCCTGCAGCATGCTGACACACATTCTGATACATCCAAATGGTAGTAGTACACAGCTGTACGGCTTGGTGAAAGCGTGCTCTCGCTTCAGCGCCGCACGCAGTTTCTCATTGTATTTCTACCAGCCAAGGATGGATCGCAATGCCCGCTCAATCTCAGTGCGCTTCGCCACACTACGCGGCCGAAAACGAATCTGACCGCTGATGAAGGTTGTGAAGCCGATCAGCTTCTCAAAAGTCCTGCCACGTCCCGCTGCAGGTCACAAGGGATCTGCACTTCCCAGCTTTCCCAAGTCACGAGCTCGTGGCGGGGCCTCAGGAGTGTCATCATTCTGGCCCTCCAGGGTCCTGAATCCGCGGTGGGCCTTTGGGGCCCTCATCCTTTCCACTTGGCGATCGCCGCAGCAGAAAGGACTACTCGTGTTGAGTTTCTGAGCACACCTGTTACTCCTCGCAGTGGACCTTCCTGTTCACTTGCTGATTCGTACTCCTACGTCCTCTCCTGGTGCCTCCCACGTCCCACTCCTAAATCCTACTACTCCTGTTCATCTGAGTTTCCTGCATCCTACTCTTCACATTGATTCCTCGTCCCCCACGTGCGCCCCCCGGGTGCGACAGGACAGCAGCGGGATCTGGAGCGGCGGTCTTCCCTGGAGCAGGCCGGCGTCTCCTGCCCCCCCCGGGCTGCTGCGGAGCTCCCTTGAGATTCTATCCAGAAAGGTCACGGAGCCCGAAACAATTGACTACACGTGAGAGTGCCTTTTCACCTGAGTGACGTTTGGTGCGGGCCCACTGGCAGCCACTGGGATCCCCCGATCACCTAATTCGTTGCGATAGTCCCGTCTTGCGCGCGTGGGTTTCGCCCCCCCCTCGCGGCTCACCCGAAGCCGCGCACCGAAGGTCTTTCTTGCCTGGGTTTACCCTTGCGCGCGGCCGAAACAGGGCAAAAACGCCAGTCGCCGGCCAGGGCCGCGATTCCAATTCCATGCGATCCGTATCTATTCACCGGCATCGGCCAGGGCCAGCCGGAAGCGAAGCGCGGCGATTCGATACCGGAGACGATTCGCTGGCGATTCGATCCGCTCTCGGTCCGATCCCATTTTTCGCGAGCCGATCCAGCGCAGACCCGCGTGTGCCCGGACGCCGTACTCTGACCCGCGTGCGGCACGAATCCCAACCGATTGGGAAAAAGTACTAACCGACTGGTCAATTGTCCAACCGAGTTCGAAAAGACAACCTGCTACTAGTTCCAACCGACCAAATCCGATCGCTGTATGATAATAATTGTGAGGCGATGTTACTGTTTGGATATCCCAGAACCAAATCATATGTGTGTGTCTGCACATATTCTCCGTAGTCTACCATGATTCTCCAGGTTGGAATGTGTACCAGGTTTGTCCGGGGAGGTTATTACAAGGATTCTTCAGGGCTTCGGGGCTCAAGGATGTAAGGGCTCAGGAGGATAAGGGCGACAGATTATCCCGTTCCTTTTCACGGCCGCTGCGGCTACGACTGAAAAAAAGACGAACGTGCACATGAATTGTCCCAAACAGTGTTTCCACTTAGGGTTTCTCGCTCGCGCCACTCAGGGGTTGGATGGGCCCGGCGAGGATTTTCCACGCGGCTGCCTCGCGGCCGCCTCGTGCGCTGGGTGGGTCCGGCGAGGTTTGGCCACGTTACCACCCGTGGCCGCCTCGTGCTTTGGGCGGGTATGGCGAGGCTTCGCCACGTTGCCACCCATTGCCGCCTCTAACTAACTTGCACCACGTACACTGCACCACACAGCTTGCACCACATAGCTTGCACCACATAGCTTACACATCCACAATGCAAAAGCTGACTGTTCGGGGCCCACGCTGGCTAACACCGGAGTTGTCCTCTTCCTAGGCTTCAGAGCGTGCGCTGCGCGACTGGGCGCGCACGCCTTCTTTTTTGTCGGGGAAGCGAGGGCCTGGATCCCGTCCCAGGCATGCGACGCCCTGGCTTCCTGAGGTCCCGACACTCTTCCCAGGGCCAGCTCCGCATCCCGCGTCCCTGTCTGACGGCCCCGGGGCTCGGGCCGGAGGAAAGGGGGGGGGGGGATTGGGAAAGGGGGGGTCACGAAATCTGCTGCATGCAGCTGGTTTCGGCCCCGCCGCCGGGCCCATTCCTCGATACATCTAGCCGCCTCCGGCGCCGGGAGGCGCGGGGAAAATCAGCTACACGTGAGCCGATTCTCAACCCCCCCCCTTTGCACCCTGACCTTCCAGAGAGTTATTTTTTAGCACTGGAAACTTAAAAACCTAAAAAGCGGAGCGAAACAGCTTAAAATCAAGACGTAGAATAGCTTTGGGATAGATTTTTACGTCGGGTGCTATTTTTTAGCCCTCCTGGAAGGTCAGGGTATCCCCCCCTTTCGCCCGACCCGATGGGGCGCGGCGCGAGGGGCCCCCCACGGGGCCAAGGGCCCGGCCAGCAGGAGCCTCCCGCCCCGCTGACTGCTGCACGGCGCGAGCACGCCTGGGGCCGCGTGGCTCGGCGCCGCGCCCCCGCTCCCGTGCGAGAGCGCAGCGCGCTCCGCTCTGGCCGCGGGGGGGGGGGGGCACTGGCCTGAAGTCGGGCATGCCCCCCCCCTAACAGGAGGAATGTTCAGAAATAGTCCAGAAGTGGTCTGCGGACGATGTCTGGACGACTGCTGATTCCTTTGGACACATGTTTCCACGGTTTTTAGTACTACAAGAAATCAAGTCCGCCTGTCGGAGAAATCAAATCCGCATTGGCCTCAAGTCGGGCATGCCCCCCCTACAGGAGGAATGTTCAACAATAGTCTTAAGTCGGGCCCGTCCCTCTAGAGGAGGAATATTCCAAAATAATCAAAAATAGTATTCTGGGAGTCGGGGGACTTTTTAATAGTCTTTTTTGACAATTTTGGAAGTATGTTTTTGAGAACGTTTGATTTTCCGTCGAGAATCCCCCTGCAGGGGGGCACGCCCGACTTAAACACAGTCAAAAAGTGGTCGGCGGACGATGTTGGGACGATTTCTGATTTCTTTGAACATGTGTATCCGCGGTTTTCTGTTTAATATATATATATATATATATATATGTAACAAAAAACAAAAAAATGTAGGAGAACACGTTCGACCTCACACTGGCCGCAGGGCGGGGGCCCATCGGCGGGGCGCACGGCCCGCCGGCGGCGGCCCTCGGCCGCGCCGCGGGCAGCCAGATCGGCCCACGCCGCGGGCAGCCCGACCCGCCCGTCGGGGGCCGACCGCCCAGAGGAGGGCCCAGACCCCTTCGCGCTGTGAAAAGATCACGACGGGAGGTTTTTCGCTCTGTTCGGCCTCCGGGGGCCCTTCCCGGGCCTCGGGACCGTCAGAAAACGAGTCAGGATGAAAAACGGGTCCCGGGGAAAGGGTCCAGACCGCTGGGGGTCGACGCGGTGAAAAAATCACGACGTCGGGGGTCTGGGGGCATGTCTCGAGCCGATGGATCCGATTCGATATGGGGCGCTCCAAGCAGGGCCTCGCCTCCGAGGGTCGAAGGAGCTGCCACCTCTTCCTAGGTGGGAGGTGGCGGAAGGGGCGGCGGAGGCCTCGGAGAAGAAGAAGCGGCATAAACAAAAATTGTTGGCGCTCCGCGCCAAAAGTTTTTGCTTATGGCATGTCTTCTTCCATCGAAGGAGTTGCCAACCTCTTCCTCGGTGGGAGGCGGCGGGGAAGGGCGGCGGAGGATCCGCGGGGAAGTAAAACGAGGCCGCCCCCGCCGGCGGAAGCCAGCGGAAGGCTGGCGGGAGGCGGCGGAAGTAAAATATGCGCCCCCAGGAGATAACAACATCTTGGGGTTCAGGGTTTCCGTAGTCGGCCATCTGTCGCCGCGCCGTTTGTTCCGACGCGCGGCCTTCCGTCTTGGGGAGGGCGCCGCGGCCACCAGGGCGGACTACGCTTAAGTCGGGCCTGTCCCCCATACAGGGAGTTTTTCGACGAAACAAATGAAAAGTACCCCAAGAAGAATCAAAAAATTGATCCAAAAATCGTCCAGGAACTATTTTTGAGTATTTTTCTCGACCTTTTGGGGCATCGTTGGGGTATTTGTTTTATTCTCTTGCACAGCTGTGCTCTAGAGCTCGGACATCTTTATTTTCGTGTCGTGTCGTGTCGTTCGTCCCCCTGCCCCCCCCTCCCTGCCCCCCCCCGTCCAGGCTCCCCAGGGCAGCCCCCCTGGGCCTCGGACACCTTTATTTTCGTGTCGTGTCGTGTCGTTCGTCCCCCTGCCCCCCCCCCCCCCCCCCCCCGCCCAGGCTTCCCAGAGCAGCCCCCCTGAGCCTCGGACACCTTTGTGCAAGAGCCAGGGCACGCGTGCCACTTGTTTTTCGTCGAAAACCCCCCTGTAGGGGGACACGCCTCGGGCGCGCTGGGCCTGCCTGTGGGCTCGTACCCGCGGAGAGCCGGCGCCGCCCCCCTCTTGGGGCGCGGAGCGCGGGGTGTCTGCCGCGGGTCTGCCGTGGTGTCGGCGTCGTGGAAGGCCTCCTCCTCCTCCTCCTCCTCCTCCTCCTCCTCCTCCTCCTCCTCCTCCTCCTCCTCCTCCTCCGCCTCCTCGCGGGTTTGCCGTGGTGTGGGCGCGCGGAAGGCAAACGGCGCAGCGGCATCTCTGTTCGGCCGGTGGGGTCCGGGTCGATGCCGAGGCTCCGTCGATCCGACGTGGCCCCCGATGCGTGCACGGCATTGCGGAGCAGCCGATGCGATTCGATTCCAGCTCGGTGCCGATGCAGTTCAGTCGGGCCTGTCCCCCTCTACAGGAGGGATATTCGAAAATAGTCGAAAAATCGTGTGTGGATATGTTTGACTATGTTGCAGCATGTTGCGATCATTTGTTTTTTGTTGTCCAAGGCCCGCCTGTAAGGGGACATGCCCGACTTAACGATGCGGCCCGTTTCGATGCACGTTCCGACCCGACCCGATCTGTCGACTCGATGCTGATCGCTCCCGCCGACCGGGCCGCCCGCCCGACCCTATCCGACCGAGTGGTGGTCCTGCTCGATGCCTGGGCCCCCGCGAGACGCGTGAGGGGTGTGCCGAAATGGGTGCGGGACGCATGTGAACGCAGCCACTGGGGCTTGCGGTGGAGCTCGGCCACGAAGCAGGGTCCGCATCGCGTACACCCGCACTCGGTTCAGCGCACCGGAGGCTCCTCGGGGGCCGGGGGGGCCCACATGTCGATCGGGCTCAAGAGATGGGGTCCGGGATTCGGGCGGTGGTGATGTTTCACGATGTTGCCATTTTCGAGTCGTCGGATAGCAGGGGCTGACAGCCGAAATCGTTGATAAGGATGGGCAGCCTTCCCAAGGGTACCCTTGCATCCTCACCTCCTCGGCCCGTTCTTAGCCCCCCCGATTGCCGGCCCCGCTCGAAGAGCTTCGACATGAGTGTCCAAGAGGCTTGCATCCTTATCTCGCATCCTCACAACCGGCAGCGAGGGTTGCGAACAACCCCAGCCTTCAAGGGTACCCTCATGTTCTCTGTGTTCCGGCTCTTCACCTAGGAATGCTCTTGCCCCTGATCATGTGGGGCCTTGTGCCTCCGGCGAAGGGGCTCCGGTTCTTGACCCACGCTCTGACGGCAATGGTTCGACCATAAGCAGCAGGGGGACACCTTTGGGAGGAAGGGAGAAGAGGAGGTGGAGGAGGAGGAGGAGAAGGAGGAGGAGGAGGAGAGGGAGGGCGGGAGGGAGGGCGGGAGGGAGGATGGGAGGCTCCTCGGATTTTCGCTCGCGGGTGCGTCACGCACCATCTCCGCGCCAACCTGCAGGGCGACTGGACAGAGCAGCTACGAGTCCTCTTCGGCTGCCTGGAGCAGCTCGCTGGCGCACCCTTGGACGTCCAACGGCGCCTCCAAGCGACCCTGCGACTGGCCGGCGGCGGATGTGCCTTCCCCTCGGCTACCCTGACGGCGCCCGCCGCCCACGCTGCCAGCTGGGCTCTCCTGCTCCACGACGTCTTGACCTGCCTCGGGACCAACTCGCTGGAGGAATTCCGGGCCCGCTGCCCGCGGACGCGACGGACGCTCGACCCGGCGGAGGCGGCGCTCAGGGCGGCCGACGTTCTGCACGCCCCCTTCGACTGGATAGGTTGCGCAGCAGAACCACAGCCCAGGCTACAGGGGCACTGGGCCAGAGCATCCTCCACGGCGAACAGAGCGAAGCTGCTGCAGGCGTACGACGAGGACCACCGCTTGCGCTTGATGAGGGAGAACGGGGACACCGGAGCTGGCAGCTGGCTTCTCCCGCGCCAGCCAGAGGACCCCCGCCAGCCAGACGCGCCCTTCTGCGGCAACCTGAAGCGCCGGCTCTGCGCCCCAGTCTGCCCGCCTAGGTCTCGCTGTCAGCACCGCCGCCAGGACGGGAGCCTCTGCAACGAGCCCCATCGACGCGCACGGCTGGCCCGCGGTCGAGTGCGGGGTGGGCGCGTCGCGCAACAACCGCCACAACAGTTGCCGCGACTGGCACTCTGCGAAGTACAAGGAGCTCACTGGCTTCGCGGCGCCCACGGAGCAGGCCGTCCCGGCTTGGGACCGCCACCCCCGCACGGGCGAGCTCCAACAGGCAGCGTTCGACCTGTGCACCAGCGACCCAGCCACCGGCCGCCAGATCTCCATCGGCTGGAGCATCACCTGCGTACTGTACACTCAACCTACGCGCCACGCAGGGGTGCCCGGGCCGAGAGAGAGACGGGCTGGCGGCCGCACAGGCGGTGGAACAGAAACGAGAGCGCTACCCTCCGCAGTGGGGAGAACTGGTCCCCTTAGTCTTCGAGACGGGGGGGCGGCCCAGCGACGAAGCAGCCAGCTTCGTCCGCAGCTACGGAGCCGGTTTAGACGACGGCGACCGCTCCGAGCTGCTGGGCGGCCTCTGGCGGCAAATCAGCAGGACCCTTCAAAGAGGGAATGCCGAGATGCTGCTGAGCGCGCTCGGGCGCTAAACCACGACGACGACCACCTCTAGCGCGCGGCAGCCGCCAGCACCACGGCGCGGACGAGGGCCAGACGACGACACGGCGACTGCCACCACCACGACTACCGTCGCGGCCACCACCGCCGCGACCACGACAAGGGCCGCACGACAACAACCGTCTCTAGCACGACGACGACCACCACCGCGACCTGCGCCAGCATGACGACCCCACCGCCCTTGCCCCTGCGGCCCACCCCGCCCCCGCGACGAAGACGTCGACGTCCCCCACGGCTTCTTCGACCACCCCAACCGCCCCCCGCTCCCAGACACCCCTCCTTCTGGCCTCCTTTCCTCCCTCCGCCTGGCCGCCCCAGCTGCAGCACTGCTCCGTTCTCGTCCCCCTCCTCTTTCTCCTGTGCCTCAGCAGCCTAGCGCGGGGCGGAGGTTTTCGGCACCCAGGGGCCGCCGCTGGCTGCCCCCCCAATGGCCCAGTTGCCCCTGGGTTGTTTCGGACCTCGCCTCACCCCCTTCTTTTTTCTGGAGGGGGCATAGGAGGGAGGGAACGAGGGAGGGAGGGAGGGAGGGAGGGAGGGAGGGAGGGAGAGGAGGAGGAGGA